CATGCACTGAAGAAAACTCGGACTGAGTTGAAACGCATCTGCATTACTTTTTGTATTATTTTATACAACTTGTACAGTTGTTTTTTATATTTTTATCTACAATAAATTTGTTCATCTTTTCATCATTACTGCTGCTTCTCCTGATTCTGAGGGATACCGTGGAGACTCTGCGCTTAGCCTGTAGAGGCACCCTTGGGCATTATACACAGAGCCTGGTATGGCTCTGCAATCCGTGAGTGGATCCATTTACTTTTATTTTCCATAATTCACATACAGTCTATACTATGTACTGTTTTCTATTATTATAGGATCCAACCATACGGAATATCATCGATATATACAAGTATTGTATATATTCACTATCTAGGACACAGAGAGTGGTGTGTAGACCTTGGCATTTGTATATTCAGTGCCTATATTTCAAATTTTGTGCTTAAGGTGTTGGGGAACACTTATTATTCCACCACTGTTTCTGTGTTTACTTTATCTGATTTTATTGTGTAAGCGCCATTCACTTCTCTTTTCTTATTTCTCATTCATATTTATACGTAGGCAACCACACAAACATTCACACACACAGATTTGCAGGTATATTGGCATCTTTACAAATATAAGCAAGCACTAAGAAACTGATGTAAAAAAAAAAACACGATAATTATAAGTGTGGTGTCAGCTGTCATAAGGATTTCAAAAGCAGAAACCAGAGGAAAGTATAATGCACATATTCTGAGTTTTAGTTTTCATTGTTGTTGCTGTTGTGTAAGATCAATGGTGGCATGCTGAAAATGCATCTTTGTGACATGTCCAATTTATGAGCTCCTGGAGCAGGTACCCTAGGGGAGCATAGTGCTTTAGAAAATGTAAGCAACTTGTCAACTTGCAATCCACGATAATAGATCTAAGTGGGCGCTTGGCAACACTGAGATACACGGACAACATGGAGAGAAGATAACAGCTTTCTACAAAGGTACTGGAAAGAATCCATGGCACATCGGTGGAAAAACAGCACACGGGATGTAGGAATAAAAACGTTATGCATACTTGCTCTGGAGAAGATCAACCCAACATGGTCCTCAATCTGTATGAAGATGATGAGGTGTCGGTTCATATGAGTAGCCTCTCCAGTACTCTGAGGCACTAAATTACTAAGAAGAATATACAGGTGGTGGTATGGGATGTAATTGTAAGTCAGCTTGTTAAGGTACCATGTTGCCAGAAGCCTGAATACCCAATATTTTCCTGCCTCGTGGGTACTTAGATGTAGTACTCCGATATTGATAGAGGTTAGTGCCTAGTGATGACCCAGAGGTCTACATTTATGTTTGAACTAATGGTAATATTAAAGACAGATACGGAGTCCTTCAAATTATATTTTTCAGCACTAGGACACAAATATAAGACAAGGCCCTCTTACTGAGAAATATTACCAATATCATGTGCTACAGCACTCACACAGCAGACATTTATAGAGATTAATGCTGAGCTGGATAAATTGGAAAAGATGGATTGAGCTCACTGTTCTTGCCACAGACAGTATGGATGGACTATACCTTAATAATCAGCGGGATTACATACTGGGAAAGCAGAAGGCTAGATACTTAGAGGAATTTTAGGATTGATGGCTAAAGGCGAAACTACATGGGTAATTAGAAGGTTTGGAAGTTAGGCTTTACTAGAGGAATATAATGGAGTTTTTAAAAAAATATCTAGATATTGTTTGGAATATTGGCATAAGAAGGTCAATAAAACTATGTCCAAGTTGATCCTACTATTTGACATCTACTATTTCTTAATGAATAATCCACATGGTATACATGTTTTGGGATTTTAAATGTGTGTTGATTCAACCAGTCAAATCCAGTTGTAAATCACCAGTGCAATAGTGAAATTTGCCACGGATCTTAATTTACTTATAAACACGAGTATTTCAAAAGTCAAGCTTATTTTTAGAACATGATAAATTTCTACTTTGTGTAGTTTTGTGTAGTTTGAGAATGGAATCCAATTAACACGTGGAAGTGGAGGTGATTATCTGGAAGCAACAGGTTCCTATTTTATACATGTAGAGTCAATTACCCACTGACATATTAATACATCTCTTATACTTCCATTTAGGATGACGCCTGCAAACTAAATATATCCCAATTTTAAATCCCTGTATGCTGCCTGTTTTAAAATACTATCGTTATATTCCTTTCATTTAACATTTTGAACTGATTTAATATTTTTGGATCAACCTTTTCATTTTGAAGATTTTAATATTTAAAACAATATTTTAATATTGTAATACTTTGATATTTTTGATCTATTGAAATATTTGTATATATTATATATTTTTTAATATAGTAATATTTAGAAAAAACTTTTTTTAAGGTTTGTCTAAAAATTGGAAAACCTTATCCAGAAATATTAAATCCAGGCCATAATACTTTGTCTTAAACAATGGGTTCAACAAAGAAAAACAAGAACAATGGTTCAAAATACAAAGTTTCTACCTGCAAGGATACATACGAGGTTGTACATTTATCCTAATGTATACTGCAATAGCTAGTCACATAATTGAACCAGAGGAGATAATTTTTATCATTAGAAGCTGTTCTTATAATATCGGTATACAGTGACAAGAAAAAGTACGTGAACTCTTTGGAATTAGAAGGTTTTCTACATGAATTGGTCATAAAATGTCATCTCATCTTCATCAAAGTATTGACAAACACAAAGTGCTTAAGCTAGCAGCACGCAAACAAGTATAATCTTTCATGTCTTTATTGAACACATCTAGTTAAACATTCACAGTGCTGTGGAAAAAGTCAGTGAAAACTTGGATTTAAAAGCTAGTTAATCCTACTTTGGCTTGAATAAGCTCAACCTAGCGTTTCCAGTAGCTACGGATTAGACCTGCACAACCTTACAGAACTGATTCAGCTCGGCCATATTCGTAGAATGTCTGATGTGAACAGCTCTTATGAGGACATTCTAAGTTAAAGGACCACTATAGTGCCAGGAAAACATACTCGTTTTCCTGGCACTATAGTGCCCTGAGGGTGCCCCCACCCTCAGGGTCCCCCTCCCGCCCGGCTCTGGAAGGGGGAAAGGGGTAAAAACTTACCTTTTTCCAGCGCTGGGCAGGGAGCTCTCCTCCTCCGATCCTCCTCCGTTCCTCCTCCTGGGCTGAATGCGCACGCGCGGCAAGAGCTGCGCGCGCATTCAGCCGGTCACATAGGAAAGCATTCATAATCAGCATTCTCTGAAACTGCTATGTTTATGAAAAAATGGGTTAAACCTAGCTGGACCTGGCACCCAGACCACTTCATTAAGCTGAAGTGGTCTGGGTGCCTAGAGTGGTCCTTTAAGGTCTGGTCCCTGACTGGGTCAATCCAAAAGACATATTTTTTTAAAGGCATTTTGTAGTGCATTTCCTTTAATGTCCATTTCTGACAGTGACTCCCTCCCTCTCCCAGTCACGTGTGGTGTTCCCCAGGGTTCCATTCTCGGCCCCCTACTATTTACATTATTTATAAATGATCTGCCTAATGTCTGCCAATCCTCAAATGTACACATGTACGCAGATGACACGGTAATCTATGCGAGCAAATCCAATCTACCGCAATTTGAGGCTTTGCTCCAAGACCAGTTTACAGAGGTAGAAAAGTGGATCGCAAAAAACAAACTCTTCCTGAACACTGAAAAAACTGTCACAATGATCTTTGGAACAGTACCTAAATTACACAAATTACACAATTCCCACCTATCCATCAAAACAAATTCAAATGGAACACTGACCGCAGTCCACTCTTTCAAATACTTGGGTATGATATTAGACCCCAATCTATCTTTTGGCCTGCACATAGAAAAGCTTGCATCTAAACTTTATCTAAAATTAGGTGCCCTGTACAGAAACAAAGCCTGCCTAAGCCCTACAGTAAAGGAAAAGATTGTACAGCAAATGCTGATGCCAATCATTGATTATGGGGATGTAGTATATGCGTCTGCATCGCAATCCCACATTAATAAACTCAACACATTGTATAACTCGTTCTGCCGATTTGTGCTACAATGTAATTACAGGACCCATCATTGTGACATGCTAAAGGAACTAAACTGGCTATCGCTGGAATCCAGACACACCCTTCATCTTTCCAGTCTTGTTTTTAAGAGCTTTTCTGGGAAACTCCCACCCTACCTGAACAAAATGCTTTCCCCAGCTGTTCCCACTTTCTATAAGCTCCGATCCAGTACAAGCACTTTACTTAGTCTACCTCAATACAAAAAGAAAGCGGCCCGATCCTCCTTCTCCTACAGAGCACCGCAATTGTGGAACGACCTCCAGCACAATTTAAAATCTTCCCTAAGCCTAAAGTCATTTAAGAGATCCATCTCTACATACCTCAAAACAGAATGCACGTGTCATGGTTGATTATATATTTCCTGCCTGTTCTATGTTACATTTTGTATATATTGTGTATTAATATTGTTTTTGTATTTTTTTGTAACTAATGTAACAATGCAATGATTTGTGGACCCAGGACATACTTGAAAATGAGAGAAATCTCAATGTATCTTTCCTGGTAAAATATTTTATAAATAAATAATTGTCCTGCTGCATCACCCAATTTCTACTGAGCTTCAGCTGGCGCACAACCACCCTGATATTATCCTGTAGGATGTCTTGATCAACCTGATAATTCATTTTCCCCCAATTGTGGCGAGTGGTCCAGGCTCCGAGGCAGCAAAGCAGCCCCAAATCATGATGGTACTTCCACCACACTTAACAGTTGGGATGATGGTTACATGTTGGTATGTGGTGCCCTGTTTACGCCATAAATTGTGCTGGATTACTTTCCAAACAACTTACTTACTTAGTATCATCAGTCCACAAAACATTTTCCCAGTAGAAGTGTCAAGGTGGTCTTTGGCAAACATCAGGCGCACAGCAATGTTTTCTTTTTCTTTTTTTGTAAATAACATTTTTATTTGTTTTAATATTTTCAATCTTTGAGCTTGAGTAGTAAATAATGAGACTCGCAGGTCTCGTGTAGCAAACACATGGGAACAGATACAATACGTGATATAAAGATAAAGTTTGACCACGCAGGCTCTGTACCAATTTGGTAACTTTGGCAGGACTCACAAGTCTGCCTTTGCATTAATAGGTATATAGCAGTCAGTAGGTAGTCGCAATAACCAGATTCCATGTTCATCTGAATATAATCAGGGGAGTGGGAGGGAAGAGGAGGAAAATGAGCATAAAAAAAATAAAAATAAAATAGAATTATAGTCATATCTGTCTATTATGGTTTGTATCAAAGCCGGTCTGCAAAGTTTGGTTTTGCTGTCATCAGGAGCCAGTGCAACCATATTGTCAGGTATGTTTGTTTAGGGCAAACATTGCTCATCGTAAGGTCCTCCATTGCCCGGAATTCTTCCATCTGAGTGAACCAAGTAGTGACTGGGGGAGTCTCTTGACTTTTCCAGTACTGTGGGATCACCTGTTTGGCAACATTTAGGTTCTGGATTGCTGCGGGTTCTTTTTCTTTTTAAAGCAGCAGCTTTCTTCTTGGTGTCCTGCTATGGACACCATGCTTGTTCGATGTTTCCTGTAAACAAAGATGTTAACTAGTTTAATGATTTCTTCAAGTCTTTAGCTATCTGGGGTTCTTTTTTATGACATTTAGCATTGTGCGATGTGTGCCCTTTGAGTCATCTGGGCTGGACGGCCACATCTAAGGAGAGTAGCTACAGTACTAAATCATCTCCATTTATAGACAGTTTGTCTAACAGCAGAGAAATTAATATCTAGGCTCTTTGATTTAAAGGACCACTCTAGTGCCAGGAAAACATACTTGTTTTCCTGGCACTATTGTGCCCTGAGGGTGCCCGCCAGGCTCTAGGGGATGGAAGGGGTTAAATTTATCTCCTTGTCCAGCACCGGGCGGGGAACTCTCCTCCATATCGCTGTCATCGGCTGAATGTGAATGCGTGGCAGGAGCTGCGCGCGCATTCAGCCAGTCCATAGGAAAGCATTCTCAATGCTTTCCTATGGACGCTGGCATGCTCTCACTGTGAAAATCACAGTGAGAAGCACGCAAGCGCCTCTAGTGGCTGTCAATGAGACAGCAACTATAGGCTGGATTAACCCTATTATTAACCCTATTATAAACATAGCAGTTTCTCTGAAACTGCTATGTTTATAGAAGAAAGGGTTAAACTTAGCTGGACCTGGCACCCAGACCACTTCATTAAGCTGAAGTGTTCTGGGTGCCTATAGTGGTCCTTTAACTGTTTAACCCGTTCCAGCTTTATGCAACGCACAGTTCTGCTGGGAGCTCTTTTTTTGTGAGGCATGGTTCACATCAACAGATGCTTTTTGTGAATGGTAAATTCTAAATGTTTGAGTGTTTTTTATAAGTCAACATAGCTCTAACCCACACCTCCAATCTTGTTTCATTAATTGACACCAGGTTTGTTATTTCCAACTCTAAAGTGTTGAAGTGATTAGCCTAGGCCTAGGATTTCACAAACTCTTTTCAACCTCTACTGTGAATATTTGAATGATAATGATTAAGATACTATTTTTCCACTAAATTAAAATCACCTCTGTCAGTGCAAGTCATCAACATAATTTGAGCTCTAGTACTTAAAAATGGAAGGTCGTACACTTAGGACTATTTATGCAATCCTGTGGTTAATCCCACTGAAATCAGCTGATTGGGATTAAGACAATACCTTTTTAAGATCCGTATTGCTGTGACTAGGGTCTCTTTTAAAATATTCAATGTTTTCTGAATGCCCAGAAGGAGGAAAAGCACATTCCACATATTATAAACTATAAATTATAAATTTATTAAGAACACATATATATTATACACATATACCACCATTGCACATCCAATGTAAATGTATCTCTGTAGAGTTAAAAATGGCAAATAGGAGAGACAGTTGAAGGAGATAGGATCAGATGGGCAGAGAGAGCATTCAGAAAAAAAACACCCTGGTATAGTAGGTAGTCATATAACGTAATAACATCACTTATAACTAATACTGGCAGCAGAGGCTAGTACATTAGTGGAATATAGCAAAAACTATAATACTTTCATAAAAGGAGGGAGCCCACATATATAGAGCTTATATATATATTTAAGACATTAGGCTGCTAGAGTAGGACCTACCAAGAATGGGGTACATTGACGTTGTGGCAGGTTTATGCAATGTATAAGCATATACTGTAACTAAACCCCCATTATTTTTTGCCTAGATTAGGTGTTTTTAAATAAAAACATTGCATTCTGGGAGACTTGAAATTGCTGTTTAGTGAATGAGCGAGTGGATTCTGTATTTTGTATGTTATATATATTTTAATGTTGGTCATCAGTTTTTAAGAAGGATATTGCAGAAGTAGAAAAAGTGCAGAGACAAGCTACAAAATCAATTAGGGGGATGGAAAACATCCGTTATGAAGAATGACTAGAGAAACTGCATTGTTTTCTTTAAGGGAAAAAAAAGGCATCTCAGAGAGATATCATAGCAATTTACAAATACATACAGCTCAGTACAATGTGCTAACCCAGTGGTTCCCAACCCAGTCCAAGGCACACCTACCAGTCCAGAATTTAAGGATTATCCAATTGTGTCTAAGGTGTTAGAGGTGTCTAAGGTGTTTTTTTATTTCTAAAAACACCATAGACACAACTGGGTAATCCCTAAATCCTGTACTGGAATGGATGCCTTGAGGAGGTTGGGGAACCACTGAGCAAACCTGTTCGTTAGCAGGAATATACAAGAGACAAGTTGTCAAATATTCAGACTGGAAGAAAGGTGTTTTCGCTCACAGCAAAAGAAAGGGTTATTTACAGTAAGAATAACAAAGATGTGGAATTGTCTACCCAAAGAGGTCATCTTCTCAGATTCTGTATATATTTTTTTCTAAATTCTTAACATTTTATTGGAAAAGAAGAATATTCACCAATATGAATATTATATATGTGAATAGGTTGTTGATCCAAGGAAAATTTTGATTTCAGTTTTTGTGTCATAATTGTCCCTCACTTCAAATATTTTTTTTGCCTTGTTTTTGGATCATATTTTGGTCTAAATGCTAAAAATAATAATAATATAAAAAATGTAAATTACAATCACAATAGCACAATAATAGCAGTATATTAATGCATTAATACTGTAGTTCAGAGTCAGTCTTTCACCTAGATATGTAAATCACATCCTCTTTCAGTTATTCATTAAAGCAAACCTAATCATATTTCAATCACAAATTCAGATTGCTTATTTGATTTTATAACTTAACTTTGCACATTAAAACAAACTGAAACTGTTTAACCTTTAAACATTTATGTGAGAGGTGTTCTAATTTTTTATAATGAATATAAATAAGGTAGAAAATAAATGATCAAGTATTTATCACTAGACACATTTCCATGATATGATCAACTTTAAATTATAAAGAAAAATTAGCAATTCCCAAATTAAAACAGAGTATTATGAATCAAAAGTCTAATCAAGCATAATCAGACTAATTTATATCATTTGAGATCAGTTAGTATGAGGCTAAAATATATTAACAGAAGGAGTAAATTAAAGAGAAACGGTCTACTTGTTTTAAAAAAGAAAGGATGGAATTTCAATCTATATACCCCGCCTTTACATGTAATTATGATTGACTCGCACACCGACAAAGTTGCTCATTAAAGTTTGTGAGCATTTCAAAACTAATTTCAAATTTTAGGTAAAAAAACAAACTAAAGAAATTCTTCAGGTCAGCTATATTTTCATGTTGGTTCATTTAGGACAATGGAGGCTTTTTAGCAGGGGCAGGTGTGGCAATAAAGATGTCATTAGGACAGGAGTGTCCGATTATGTGTGCGGGTTTCTTAGCTTCATTTAGTTGCCTCTATTTCGGAAAAGATGCATCTAAATTTATCATGTTTTATTTTTTATTTTGCTCTGGAGGTGAGTTCTTCTTCTTGGTATTAGTGTCTGTTCAAGGTTCAGAAATTACTTGGACTATTACACCGATTTCTACCCGGCTATTCACAACTGATGATCCCTTGGAATTCCTTCTGTAGCTCGTCTTCCTTATCTGGCTTCTGAATCGGATGTGTACCTGACCACGCTCTTCTGAGCCAGGTCTTTATGTCACCACACTGTTCTCTGGCATCTGATCTGTATTTGACTATGCTGCTCTCTGGATTATGACTTGACATTACCTGCCAAGTTAGTTACAATGCTTCTCTCTGGCTTCAGCGATAAATGCACCATACTCTATATATTAATTTCTGGATACTTGCCTATGGAATGTTGTTCAAGTGATTTGATATCACTGGTTGTTCATGACTATTGTGCAAGTTCTATTGTATACCTTTAACCAGAGTTACTTTGAATTTTTATGTCCAGCAAATTACTTTCAAAGCTTTAATTATTGGTACGTTATAACCTCTGACGTTCTTGGAGATCTATATCTTCATTTGCATCCTCTCCTTTCTATTCACTAAACTGACTGCTTATTGAAGAGACAACGCATTTTTCTCCTGTTTCTTCCATCCTTGTTGTTTTTCACATGAAAACAAAAATAATCTGCTTCATGTTTTTGGGGTTTTTTGTTCTATTTTTGTTGAGTTGCATTATATTTTAATATACCTATTATAGCATTTATGTGAGAGATGCATTACTTATCTTTGTGAAAGAGATATGTTAATGTGCTGAGTTACCAGCTTTTATAGTTAAGGGGGTTTACTGTTATTTCAGTTACTCCTGTTACATAGTATGTGCTTTCCTTATTACCAATGGGTCACATTTAGCAGGTTTATTGGGGAACATCTAGGTAAGTTTTATAAGTCTTGTGTTGGCATTCTAGGAAAGAGTTCTGTTGATGGCTGTACGGACTACTGACTGTATGCTACAGTCCAGTACATATCTAGAAGGCCGATACCAAGTCCACACTGGGCCTTGTTTATAAGAAGATATGTGGCAGTGATTTCCAGCACTGGTGTATTTTAGCACATACACAGGCCTTCCATCAGAGAATGAAATATCCTTGGTTCTGGACACTTCTGTACTTGTCTGAGTCAGCACGTATACAATTCAAGCCTGGCTGTAAGTCCATATTGGTGTGTCTTTCAGCACATTAACGTTACCTCCTTCAGAGAGTGGAATATATTATTTTTTCAGGCCATTACTAGTATCCAATATAATCTTCAGACACCTAATGGTAATTCTACTTCATCCATTGTTCTTAATAATTATGTGACATTGATTTTTCACTTGTGGTGTTCAGCACATAAACAAGCTTCGTTAAGTGAGGGCTATAATCTTGTACAGGAGTGAGTGAGTGAGTGTTGGTTGGATACATCGGTAAACCAGGAATAAATACATAGCCATACATACCATAGTTTTCTTTTCCTGGATGTAACCATAGCAGCATGGTATTCCTCCCTTATTCATTTTTTAGGATTGTGAAGTATTTATATACTATCTAGTAGGAGGTGTATTCATAGCTTTTATTTCCTGTCCTAAATAGTCAAGTGGATTAGCCAGGAAAAGAAAATTATGGTATGATTAAGTATGATTACATTTTCTTTATTGGGCAAGCTATTATTGCAGCAATATCTATGTTGTATCAGATAATTACATATTTTTATACAGTTTTTGTAATACTGATTTAAGAATCTAGATCAGGGGCACCCAAAAGGTAGATCACCAGATATTTTAAAACTACAGCTTCCACGATGCTTTGTCATTATAAAAGCATTCTAAAGGCATGCAAAGTATCATGGGAGTTGTAGTTCTACAACATCTGGGGACCTACCTTTTGGGGGCCATGGTCTAGAGCCACCACTCCTTCCATTTTATACACTGCATAAAATAATATATTTAAAATACACACCTTATTCTGATGCTCAGTTACCAATTCAAAAATATCAGACAAATGTACGATGGACTCATATTCATATTATAGGCATTAATTTCCTTAAAATACTTTGTTATTTGAATTTCTCTCTTTGATAAGTTTTAGATTTTCTAATTTAGCCCACCTAAATATCCATAAACATATTTATTTCCTAAAGGCAGACTAGATGGGCCAGTAGCTTGTTACTATTTCGATGCTCAGATTACAAAATGCACCATTTGTTGTCAGTGGGTTTTCATCCACAGAACAGGTGATGAAAGATGTGAACATTTTGTTCATGATCTGGTCGAAAGAAAGCGCGCGTATAATATTCTGTAACGCTCCTCTGCAGCACCTATCGACAGTATCACACATCCAGCAAGCCTGTGAACCATTTCATGCGGTTTTTGTTTTTTTAATCTTTGCATTGCAGCATATGTGTTTGTGGAATGCATTGCTCCCTCTCATGGCTGTTTGCTGTCATTACATTACTATTTCTCATAGCTTGAATAATTGTACTATAGTGTAACACTGTACTATAGTGTAGAGCAGGGGTAGGCAACCTTTTAGCAGCACTGTGCCGAAATAGGATTGTGACGTCCCGTAGCGTGCCGGTCCTATTTTTTTAAAATTGAGGTGTGTATGTTGCCGTATGCTGCTTGTGTTATTTATACTGCAGTTGCTTTGTATCGTTGTATTTGTGCGTATATGAGCTATTATATTGTATATGTTCTTGAGCAGTTTGTGGTATTGAGTACCTATGAATGTGGGCTGTGTATGGGGGCTGCTTGTGGAATTGTGTGTGTGGATGGACTTGTCACATTGTGTATCTGGTAGTGTGTGTATGTGTGGGGGCTGTTTGGGGTATTGCATGTTAGAGGCTGCATGTGGGGTTATGTATGTGGATTGTCAGTGGTGTTGAGTTTGTGGAGATTGTGTGTATGTTTGTTTGTGGGCTGTTCATATTATTTGTATGAGGGGAGGGTTATTCTGCATTTTTGTGTATATCTAGCAGCGTGGGTGGCTTCCCTGGGTTCCAGTGGGGACCAGGCTGACCAGGTACCGGTCAAGGACAGGAGCTGCAAGAGCAGCTGCGGGCTGCTCTACTACAGTGTGGATTCCCATTCACAAGTGCTGAGAGGAAGTGATCTGAGATCACTTCCTCTACGTGCTGCAATGCATAAATTGAGGATTGTCCTTCACCACCTTTTCGTATTAGCAGATATCTGAAGTTTCACTGGTACTCCTGATAGGCCAAAGCCTGTTTGGCTCTAGCAGGCTTGAGTGCTGTGCAAAGGCACATCGAGTGCCGTGCATGGCACATGTGCCATAGGTTGCCTACCCCTGGTTTAGAGTGTATTTATCAACCACGTTTATTAATAAAGCCAGAACAATATATAAATATAATTACAAAACATGCTTTTTTTTTCCTGCGCTCTTCTTCTCCTCCATCAGAATCCACTTTGACTAGGAAGAGATGTTACTTAAACTGGCGTACATTAATTGTGTAGCTGCTGTGAGGACTAATTGGTATACATCATACATACAGAGATTAGTGTGAAAACATACAGTACAATCTACATATATACAAAATGCTGCATAATAGCAATACCTATTTCACTTTAATAATTCTGGTTTAAGTATGCCCTAATATAGTGGTTCTCGACCATGCATACATGGCTTTATCCAGAAATGACAATATTGTAAATAGTATTTAAAACCCCTTCCACTGTTTGATCCAAAAATGTGTTGATTTTGACATGGCTTTGACCATGAATTTTCTCTTCTCTGGTTTCCCTTGAAATCAGCTTTGCTAATCAGATTTGTGACTCTGGCTTCCTTTAACATGTTTCACTGTTTACTATGTTTTTTGAAAGTTTATGCATATGCATGCTCTATGTGTTAATTCTTACCATTCTAAAGATGTATCTATTTCTTTCTATACTGTTTACCGGTAAGTACTGATCTATAATTTGCATGCACAAACTTTGGGATACCTGGGATGACCTAAATCAAGTCTTGTCTTCTGTGTGTCTATTTACTGTGTTTTTGGGCACAAAAGTGTAAAAGCAAAGTGATAATAGCTCAATTTACATATTACAGATCAGTAATAATTTCAGATAGATGAAACACACTTGACAGTTGAATTTTCTATAACTCTTTTCATACACTGATGTATAATAGTACAAAACACAAAAGCTTTCGTTACAGGATAAATTCTTTTTTGTTTGCGATTCATTTTTATAACTGTATTTTAAAATGTTATAATCTTGATAATATTTTTAAGTGGTTTGGTATTTATTGTAAATCATTTTACCTTAAGAGGTCAACGTATAACTCTTCCATGAAAGTAAGATAATGAATTAAAATTCGCACAATGCACAGCCAGCACCTAGTCTCCAAAAACCATAGCCCACTAGGAGAGCCTGTCCTTTTTAACCCCTTAAGGACCAAACTTCTGGAATAAAAGGGAATCATGACATGTCACACGTCATGTGTCCTTAAGGGGTTAAAGAAGAGAACAAATACTGTCACTATGCATCAAGGGAATTATTTCTTTCATGTTCTGTCTCAGCATGGATCACGAGGAGGCAACATATTTTGATTTTATCACATGATAAGCCAAGGCACAGGTCAGAGTAATTTGTTCTCTGCTCATCATTTTATCAAAATGATTCATTTACACTGCTTAGTTTGTATATGTTACATCATCTAGATTATTACTGTCTAGCCAGGGCTTCCATGGAATGACCTTATTAGATCAGACAGCTCCCATACTGAGCACATATTACACAGAGCGTCACATTAAACCAGCTCTAATACAGAACACAGTCTGATTGGCTGTAACAGGTTACTGTGTAATGCGACATTTGGCATGCAGATAGTGTATTTTATATAATTAGTATATTAAAGCGGCATTTATGAACGTAAATCTGCAATGGTTGGTTATGCTGTCATGACACAATCAGGGTTATTCACTTAGAATTCTCACTTTGGTAACTATTCGTGAATATGTAAGAGACATGGAGTGGGAATTTGGAAGTAAGAAACATAACAAAGGAGGTTCAGTACATGTGGTGGAATTATAGTAAATGTGCCTTGAAGAATTTCAAGGAGTGGCCACTCGGATACTGGTAAATAACAGGACCCTGTTGGAGATACAATGAAAGTGAGAAATTATTCTTACCTCCCAACATTTCAAATAGACAAATTTAGGGGTGGGGCAGTTTTGAGAAATTTTAGGTGACATACTTGTAACAATTTGTGCAACTAAAATGTAATTTAGAACAAGAACAGTGTGTCTTACTTACACAGACTGATTTCTACACATATATATATTGTGGCGTTTTTTGTTGTCATTATTAAAATTAAGATTATAGGTACACTACGTTAGCATAATCTACAATTCTTCAGCGCTACTCCATCATATTCAGAATAAATAAATTTGGTATAGCATGTCTATCCAGTCCCACATATTGTTCTTGAAAGAATGACGAGGGAGAAATTATGGCAGATGAGGGGAGAAATCCCCAAGTCACAATACCCCAGGCTTTCACCCTTCTGCAGGAAATGAATAAAAAAGGAGTGAGAGAGAGAATGTTTCAAAAATGTTTTTTTGCTTCTAAAGCAGAAAAGACACTTTTAAAGAAATTACAGTTACTCATTCCTTCATTCTGCTATTTCAATACTTACTGGGGTGAATAATGCAGCAGAGATAAGTCTAGAATTTACTTACCTCTGCATCACTTTCGTTTTTTGCTGATTCGCTGTCCCATGAGGCCTCAGGTAGACGCCTATGCACTCGGCACCTTCTTGGAGGAGGTGAACAGGAGTTAAAATAAAAAAATAACAATAATTGGGTTTTATATTTGGTGACTTAGAATGCTATACTGGGAAGTAATGCAAGAAGTCCACTTCTGAAAACCAAATCAATGAAAGCTTCTATAACTCTTCAACGAATATCTGGAACTGTGCAACCATCTATTCAAGCAAAGCTAGAAAACTATTAAAACTAATATGGTGTAACAGTAATACAACATCTAATACCTTCAAATTCTGGCAACAGATCTTGGATAAATGTAAAAAAAAAATAAAAAAAAAATGTGTGAGAGCTGATGTCAGAAAATACACTCCAACTCCCACACCCTGGACCTTTTTGGAGGGGTGAGCATGACTGCCATACATGCTGCTGGAAATAAGAAATTGGCTGGTGAGGGCAAATAGTACTACAGTGTTGCAAAGTGGTGGCAAGCAAATAAATAGGGGTCACTGGCAGGACTTACTACTCAGCAGAAGAAAGATTGAGGTAGGCTGAGCTAATTTTTTTCTCCTACGAGCCCTCAAAAAAGATGTTTGTTGGATTTCAGCTGTTTTCTTTTTGTAGTGTTCTTGTCCTTGTTTGTTGTGTTTTTTTCTGTTTTCTCACAGTGGTGGTGCCCCTTGCTAACTGAACATTTAGTGAAAAAGAATGTTTGCCTGTACGGACCTGGGGAGCCGTGGCCTGCTATGAGGCTGAGGGTTCAATGCAAGCTCTGCGGACTTTGGTTCAAGTGATATAAGAATTGTATAATTGTTTTAGGTTATGAGTTGCTGGCATATTAAACATTTAATAAAATTGTAATATAGTCTGTCTCTAATTGGGGTATGGGAAGGGTTTTAAGTGGAATGAGTGAGTGCCTCTTGGGACGGTTGGGTTATTCATGTTGTGGGTCAGCAAGCAATTTAGCTACAATCATCACAGAAAGTCATAAGTATACGAGCTCAGGTAATGGATGCTTTCTCAAGTACACAGTCCTGATATGGTTATTCAGTATTTGTATTTTATTCAGTTTAATCTCTTCCCAGCTTTTCCATACTCTGAAAACATTGAGTGAAGAACACTTAAAAACAATTGAACTGCTGTTGTTGATATTACAGTTGTTATTTGATATATGTTACATTACATTTAGGTTGTTCTCTCCTTTTGTACATACTGTTTGTACATACTGTTTGTGTAATGTCAGTCTTATTGCACACATGTTTTTCATGTAGGTAATATTTTCGCTATTTGAGGATCAAATGCTATATCTAAATAGTAGGCGGGAAAAAAGTTAAACTTTCATCTGAACACAGATCAATGTTTTGCTTTAAGGTATACAGGTGATGTGAAATAAAATATTGCCATATACTGGTGGTACCGTTTTTATAAAAAGCACAAAGCACATTTTGCAGTTCAAGAGATTAAAAGCATATTTGCGTTATCTCAGGTGAGAGATAAGAAGATGAGAGGGGACATTTAGAGAGATTAGGAATCAAATGATCAACTATCCTCTCCAGTACTTAATAGCAATCTGGGAGAGATATTTCTAATACAGTGAACAGATTGTGTTTTGGAAGAAATAGCTGAGCAGTATTTTTTATACAAAGATCTAAAAGGTTAAGATAGAGGATGAGACGTTTTTGCATACATTTTTGCTCAAGGAACCATATTTTATTATGTAGTATTATAGAGTCCATCAACTTGGATAAAGAAATTTGGTATTGACTTACATGAGAAAAAAATGGAGGGTCAGGGAACGTGGACTGGCTCATTGGCAAGACGGAGCTTAAGTGCTCAGCTCTTGCTCAACCAATGTGATAATAACTGCTAAACTTGCTATTCCATATGGGCCGAAAGGAAAGGTTGGAAATGTTCAAAGAGTTGTGTGCCTATACCCCTTTACTTTCTTTTTCTTTTCTCCATATTGTTTTTTATATATTAATTTAATATTGTTAGCATTTTCAAATGTTTGCATATCCATTAATAGTTACAGCATATAATTGTGACATGTCTTAGAAACGTTAAAAGAACAATGCTCTTACTCCGCTTTACTTTTCAGTAACACTGTTGTTCATGGCTAACACCACTGGTGTCCTTTTCTGGCATTGTCTGACACTGAGACTATATAACTTTTTTTGACAGCTATATGATAGGGATCATATATATTTCTTTTTCACAAAATAAAATTTCCAGTGGGCTTTTATAATGGTTTATGTGATGGACCCCTAGTCCCTTTTTCTCACTTGATATTGGCTGAGATACCTCGTAAGGGCACATCATGTAGAAGCATTCAGAACACCTTCACTGTTCATTTGCCAATGTTGTTTTATGCTTTCTCACTGATATAACATGGAATAAAGAGAAGATTTGATTATATTGTCATAGTTTGCAATAGGGCCGGACTGGGAATAAAAAGCAGCCCTGGATTTTTTTTACACCAGCCCTAACATTAATTGTGCCAACTGTGACAGATATACAGGTGGAAAAACACAAAGGATTGAAAATTATTTACCCAACGTTTCATCCCCAAAACTTGAATAGTCATTGACTGATAGCTGCTGCATGTCTAATTTAAATTAATCTTATTTTGTTTAGTCCTCAATCCTATGAGTGCACTCTGCGTTGGATATAGTTTGATACCAGGGAATGAAAGACTGAGAGAAGGGCAGGGTTATCGACTAAATTAAATATTTTGTGTGAATAAATTCCAAAAATTAGGCTACAATAGTCAAGCTGTCACTATGGCGAAGTTTGGATTTTTCAAATCCGCTATTTTGGTCTAAAAAACGCCATTTAGATTTTCACTTTCTAAAATTAGAAATTTAGAATAACCCTTTGAAAAATTTAAAACCTTGTTACATTTATATACGTGTGTAATCTTCAAATGTGTATTATGTATGAATGTCTATTAACATATGTGTATCATACTGATGTTTGTGTGTGTATATATATATATATTCTAACCATAATAATTTCTAAGATTACGTGTGTGTGTGTATATATATATATATACACATATATATATATATATACACACACACACACACACACAGTTTGACAAATTAGTTTGGAATCTAGCAGCCAGCTAGAAAAATTAGGAGCCAGAGAAATCAACGTCAAAATTACAATTCTTAAGGGGACACTACAATCACCAGAACCACTACAGCTTAATGTAGTTGCTCTGAAGTCTATATCCTGACCCTGAACGCTTTTAAATGTAAACACTGACTTTTCAGACAAAAGGCAGTGTTTACATTGCTGCCTGGTGACACCTCTAGCGACAGTCACTCAGACGGCCTCTAGACGTGCTTCCTGGGTCAGTGCTTCACACTGTGCAGCACCTACGTTAATGTTCCCTATATGGATGCATTGATTCAGTGCATCTCTATGAGAAGTTAAATTGACGCAGTGGCATTTTGCCGTGCATGCACAATAGTCTTCCAATGCTTTGCTATGAGGAAGCATTGGATTGGCTGAGATCGTCAAGATTGAGGATTTCAGCCATGGAGGTGGGGCCAGCCACAGGATGGGAAAAAAAACAAAAAAAAAACCTTTCCTATGTGAGTGGAGGGAACACACACACACTTACTGACCGACTCAGACTCACTCACAGACAGACATAGAGACAGACACTCAGACCGACACTCCGACAGACACACAGTCACAGACATACTCACAAACACACACAGTCAGACAGACACACACACTCAGACACACTCACTCACAAGTAATTACTTTTTTATTTAAATTTAAATCCACCCAGCCTCCCTACCTTTAGAGAGTTGGAGAGAATATGCTTCCCCTGGGGTCTAGTAGCACTGCTGTCATCTCTCTTCTCGGCTCCCTCTCACGCACTGTTTAGTGAGCCGGGGGCCAGAGTGACATTATAACCCAGCTCCATGAATCACTGCAAGCTGTGCAAGGGAGCAGAGCAGGGAGATTACAGCTCCTTCGCTGTGGCACTAAGTCAGCCGCCCGCCTCCCTCTGCTCCCCATTACCCGGCTGCTCCCCTCCGTCAGCTGCCCACCTTTTCTACCACAGCTCTCCATGTGCCAGCCACCCCTCTCCCTCCCTCTGCAATAAATGAGCTGGCCGCCCAATTCCCTCTGTCAGCCGCCTGCCTTCCTCCCACAGCTCTCCATGAACCGGCTGCCCCCTCCCTCCTTCAGCAGCCTGCCTGCCTCAGTCCTCAGTGATCCCAATGCCTGCCTCTGCTCTCAGGCAGCCGATCACCGTGGGGGCTGAACATATGTATATTTTGATATAATACACATATATTAATATACATTTGTGCAAATATATAGATGCATAATACTCCCACAAATCACCAAATCACATAGATAAAGCAAAATTATATAAAACTATATATATATATAAATATATTTAAAAAAAAATTTAAATTCAATTTATTTTAAATAAAAAAAAAAACAGACACATGGATTTTTAATTAATAAATACTCACTGGCACACACACTGGCGTGTAGTCACTGATGCCCATACATACTGACATATACTCATCAACAGACACTGGCACACAAACTAATGCTGCATCCCATACAAACACAGGCACACAATCACTAATACATACACACTCCCTGACACACACATTGATCCATACTGACACACACACGCACATTGATCCACACTGACAGACACACACACACACACACAGACTACAAAAATACACACCAAACACACTCACAACTACACCCTCAAATATCCACACTCAATTAAAATGAAATGCCTGGGTGCCTCTGCTCACTGAGCCTACCTTGCTCCTTCCCAGCAGCTTCCTTCCAGCTCTCTCACAGGACTCCCTGCCTGACAGCACTTTACACACAGGAAGCAAGACTTCGGAACACTGTGTGGGCTGCCCTGCTCTGCCTGATTGCCAGGTCACATGCTTCCTGTGTGTGAAGGCTGTCAGGCAGGGACAGAGACTGCCACCCTCCCTACACTCACTCCAGGCTCCTGCCGGCTGTCTGCTCATTGTCTCACTCCGAGCAGCATTGGAAGTTCTATTTCCAGCACCTGCTGCTCTCGAGTGGATAAAGGAAAGCCTCTTCTAGAGGTAAGAGGAGACCTGTGCTCCCCAGTACCCCCAATGTGAGTGTGTGTACTGGGTGGGGAGAGGAAGGGCTGCTGCACTGTGCGGCCCCAAGTGCCACGGCCAAACCAGGGAATTTCCCGGTATCCCAGTGGGCCAGTCCGGCCCTGGTTTGCAATAATTCGGGCTTGACGGCAGGCTGGAGCGCTCCTTCAGTGGATGGATCCACACCTTTTTCAGGTGGACCCTTCCACCTGTCCCGATCTGCATACCTCCCATTGTTGGCATGTATTAAAGGCAACCCTCTCCCTCCCACCCCCCAATCCCCGGTTGCTGAAGGGGTGAAAACCCCTTCAGTGACTTACCAGAGGCAGCGACATGTCCCATGTCGCTGCTTCTTCCTCCGCCACAGCTCCTCCTCTGCATAACGTCGGCCGGTGGGCGAGTCTGATCCCGCCCACTGGCCGGGGAGACCTAATTGCCGTGCATGCGCATTAGAGCTCTCCATAGGAAATCATTGAAAATGCTTTTCAATGCTTTCCTATAGGGAATTGAGCGACGCTGGAGGTGCTCACATCTGTGCAATGAAACAGGAAGTGCCCTCTAGTGGCTGTCTAGTAGACAGCCACCAGAGGTGGAGTCAACCCTGCGAGGTAATTATTGCAGTTTATAAAAAACTGCAATAATTACACTTGCAGGGTTAAGAGTAGTGGGAGTTGGCACCCAGACCACTCCAATGGGCAGAAGTGGTCTGGGTGCCTGGAATGTCCCTTTAAGAATAGCAGAAAAGGTCACCAGGACGGTTCACTAAATTGCGGATTGTAGCAAATTAGAATCCGAATGGCACTAAGAGCTGAATTGGAAAAATCATCTAACTCAATAATAGTCGCAACCAGTTTTGCTACTTGGAATTTAATTTGCTACAATTCTGAGTCTAGTGAATATCCCTGCTACTGAGGATGAAACTTTAATTTTTGTCCACTCCCATTAGGCATACAGATATATGTTCACATGCGGCAGTTTGCACGGAAAAGACAAGCTAATGGGAATAACCAGACATAACCTCTTGATGTACACTGGCCTCTAATGGAGCATTTTGAAAATATTTTACTAGATGTCTGAGTTTATTGAAATCTGAATTGCAGGGGCACGTAATAATCCATTAGTGAAACAGAAATGTACGAGACAAGCAATAAATCAAATATTATGCAAGATTAAGCTAGGAGAGTTTTAAAATTGTGCTCACGTTTGCTAAAACGACATATAAATGATAATTTGTATATGGACCCTAGCAAGCAATTCACATATATCGAGCTTGCTTTGAAATCTCTTATTTAAGAAATAGCAGCACCACAAATTATGCTAGAAGCTTTAGGAAATATTGGACAGGGATTTGATTACAATATTTTATTTCCGCGTTGATGAATTATAAGTTATGTGTTATACCACAGGGCGTTGTAAAATATTTTTATAATAAAGCTATTTCAAATGAAATTAGTACACATTCAGGGATTGCTCCCATTGGCTGTTTTTAAAGGGAAATATTATATTTATATTCAGTTCATGTTAATGCTTTATGTTTTTTTTTTTATCTCCTCCATTCTGATTGCTACTTTTGACATCCATTTGTTTGTGAATTCCACACGCCATGAAGCTCAGCTGTCAAAATGGCTGATCAAGCATCATGGGCAAATGTAAATTATTCTAGCTTTTAGTGACAAAATAAATGTAGTTTTCATAATGACAGGAAACCATAGCAACTCTACTTATATACATTTAAATGCCTTTTCTACATTAATTTACCCTCACGTTTCCTCTCCTTGTATTGCCGTGTGGGAAACTTCGGATAGAGCCCAGCTAGGCTGCGGCAGCTAGGGTCTGAAGCTCTACAGATGTCCCGGTTCTAGCTAGGACGCGTGCTTGGCGGAGGTACCCAGCCGGGGTACCAGGCGGTCCGTCACACATTCTATTTAGGGAAGGTTAGAAACTTTTTTTTCTTCCGAATTTTTTCAGTTTCAGATTTTTCTACTTTTCTAAATAAGGTAGTCATGCGAATAAATTTGCAATGCATAAATCCAACTACAAAGCAATATTCCTGTGTAGCAATGTACTGTATTTGCAGTGTGGTTTTAAAAATGTGGGCATGAATAACACTTAGAATATGTAGCATTTTCAGTCTAATAATGGCACTGACACGTATGAGATTCAAGTTTTTATTACATGCCGATCTAAAAATTTAATGTATTTATTGATTATGCCTGTGCAATCTCCAGTACACGGGAAATACTTGCACACACCTTTGTCAGAGAATTACAGAACACATATACAATATTAAGACTGGCTTCCAAAATCACAGCGTGCCATGTCATTTGTTTAATTGCCATAATGAAGACCCAAGTTTATGGGCATTCCCCCCAATTTTTTTATTTTTTTTTGCTCCTTTAATTTATATCTTTATATAGAAATACATTTTAATAATTAAATAATTGAAAAGTGTTTTTTTTTTTTTTTATGAAGAAGAAAATCTTTTATTATGAAATTTTTCTGAGAAGGAAGATTTGTGATGTAATAAATAGTTTAGATTATGAACATAATTTGGATTATTTGATTTCCTATGAAAATATATATTTGTCGATTCTTGTATGTTCAGTACATCGATACATTGTGTCTATATATATATATATATATTTCGCCCAACGTTCTTTTACCCTTCGGTTTGAGTCCTACACTAACAATTCACCTTTTTGTCTTTAGCTCTGTTTCATTAGAGATTTTTTTTACCAGTTGGCTGAAGGTGAATGGTTAGCGTAGGACTCACCTATGAGGTTTTGCCTTGACGTGGCAGGTGAGCTTACACCTAAATGGCCATTGGAGAAATACTAAAAAAAAAAAAAAAGCCTCCAGTTATTTAATTGTGCATAGGAATTTGGGATCTTGCACAAGTACCTTTTTATTATTTGGCTTTTATTGTATGTATTGGGGCTGACGTGTACTATAGTCATTGATGCCGCCCAGGAGTAGTGGGAGTTTGAATGTACTGCATTTGTAGTGTTGTGCTTGCTTCCTGATTGGTTGGATGGCACTGGGCTTCAGCGCAGTGATGTCATCAGCTGGGCGGAGTCTGCAGGCACATTTGAAAAAGGACAGTTGACAGTTATCTTTTGAACGGTTGGGGTCAGTTAATTAAAGCAACAGTCACATACAAAAAAGCTCTGGCAATCTATTATGTTATAAAGAAAGATATAACTGCATTAATATCACTAATTGGCACAGAAGTGTGATTATAATGCAGAGTAGAAGAGTCATAAATGGCCAGGGGTTTTTATCAATAATTTTTAAAAGAATATATTTTGCTTGTTGACCTTTTATTATAAATACCACAATAAGCAGGGTTTTAAAATGCAGTTCCTTTAAGATCATATATGTTTATTCTATTAATTGATAAATTAATCAACCCAGTCTGCCTTGCACTCAACAGAAGCAATTAGAACAGAACAGAAATCATTAAAAGACTAAATTTTATCATCGTCGATTTCTAAATTTGAAGAAAACTAATTTAATGTTCTGGAAATCAAAGGGAAAAATGAAATGGGATATGACGAACAATAAGCTCGGAGACAACGAAACATAATTACGCGTTACTGCAAACTATAACCGACAGCTTTAATAAGACCCTTTTTGCTTAATTATAACATTACAAAATAAATATGTTAGTGGCCAGGGTCACAGAAATGAGCTATGATAGACATTTCTAATTTGCAAGTCACTGAACTATGGTATAATAAAATCAGCCACTCGCTTTCCGTGCTAGGTTGCTATTTTTTAAGCTTTTCATGCCGAATTAGGTTGGAACCAAAGGAAAAAAAAACCTCAATTGTCGCTCTGCAGTGAAATCAACTTACTGATGTTGAAATTTATAAACAGATCATACGTCTGTCAGTAAAGACAAACAGTACATAGCACAGTGCACTAGTCATGCAAAAATGACATTTTAAAGACATTTATTCTCTAAAATACACTCAAATTGTTCAGAAATGTTAATGTATGTGATATAACAAATGTAACAGCCTCACACAGAGATACATGCAAAAGATAACGCACACACTAAAAAGGGGGAAATACTTCCTGCAGGGTGCTCCAGAAAGGAAAGGCCTATCCCTTCCAAAAAATTGAACAAAAATATCCAGGAACACCCGAAGCTTCTTCTAAAAGGCAGTCTTTTTTACGTGAAACAAGAAAGTGGAGACAACGTTTCGGCTCCTCTCTGAGCCTTTATAAAGTCTTTGACTTGGTAAAGACTCAAAAAGGAGCCGAAACGTTGTCTCCTCTTTCTTGTTTCACGTAAAAAAGACTGCCTTTTATTAGAAACCTCAGGTGTGCCTGGATATTTCTTTTCACACAGAGATATAAACTACCACTATGCAGATTAGAAAAATACATGCACATTCCATTTTATTTTGGTTAATTTCCAGACAGTAAAGTTTGCAGTAACCAATGGCAAATACTCCCTCTGAGAAGCAGAAAAAAGGGAAATTGGTTGGCAGCAGGGTCTGACGGGTCACCCACCCTCTGTCCCGAATGCCTACATCCAAATCACCGCCTCTTAACCCCGCCACACATACAGGAGACATCTAGATTATTTTTCATGCAATAGTTAGGGAATCCGCATCATAGCAAAAATTGCATGCCTAAATCTTAGTACATATTTTTTTTGGTATGTATATTCGTAAATGTATGCATCTGTATTTGTATGCACGTTTGGATTCACCATTTAGAATTTGCCAGAAAATACTAGAGTACCGTACCTCTCCTGAGTTTGGGCTCCGGATCTGTCTCTTACAGTCATGTGTGGAATGAGCCGCAGGTATCCTTAGACATCTGACAGCCCAGACTAGAAAGCAGATTTGACTGGAACAAAAACCATACATCGGGGCACACCCAATGGTTTCTTAATAAGGCAGTCTTTTATTGGGAGTTCAGAGGAAAAGAATGTTTCGGCACTATCCTATGCCTTTGTCAAGTCAGTATAATGCCAAAACTTTTTTTTCCCCCTTTGAACTCCAAATAAAAGACTACCTGTTATTAAGAAACCATTGGGTGGCCCAGACATATGCTTTTGTTACAGTTGGATTGTTTGGGAGTTGGCCCTCCTGGTTTGAAACACCCCGGTGGGACTATTCCCCTAGTGAGTGTATGCATTGCCTCCACCACTCTAGAGAGCAGATTTGTGAAAGTATAAAGCTGTAAAAGTAGGGAAGGGTTAAAAAAAAATAAATAAATAAAGGAATGTCATCCTGTCATACACATAGGGCCACCTTTAGGCCTTTAAGTGCTCCCTGGCCTCACCCCCCTCCCCCCACAACCAATACCTCCCACTTTTATTAAACCCAAAACTAAAAAGATTAGAAGGCTTTTAAAGCGGTAAAACAAGCTCACTGTAAATTGTGCTGTTAATGTGCTTATTACAGAGCTCCACAGCAAAAAAACTCATAGTAATATGGATAGTAGTATAAAAACTCCACAGCTATAATACACATATTTATATTCCTCTCTATCTTTGCTGCTGAGGGAATTAAAGAAAGAGTTATGCATAATAGGAGACTCCGTGTCTATTAAAATCATAACTTTACGTCATGTTAATAGTATAATCTGGGAATTAAATAGGCTAAATTATAAAATGAAAAAGTAACAGGCAAAAAGATCTGTTAAAAAAGTTTTTGTAAGTACCTTTGAGAAGAGAAAAAAAACAAAACTTTAAAATGTAGGCTCACTGAAATCAGAGATGAGTAAGTTAATAAATGAAGATCAGGAAAAGGCAGGTATTTTAAATAAGTATTTGTTTTTCATTATATATCAAGGATTAACCCCTTAAGACCGGAGGGCGTACTATTACGCCCTATTCTAAGCGGTTCTAAACGCCGCTGGGCGTAATAGTACGTCCTCCGGTCTTTTCCTACTTACCCGGTTGCCGGCGATCGCGGTTGGGGGGACTCCCAGGGAGCCCCCCGCGGCACGTCCGACCCCCTAGAAGCCCCCCGGCCATGTAAGAGTGAGGTCCTTGCGAGGACCCCACAATCACATGGCCGGGGGTAACTGGCTGCAGCATTGCCAGCAGGGGGATTGCCTGTAATGACAGGTGGTCCCCCTGCTGGCTGGAAATAAAATCAAATAAATTAAAAAGTGTAAAAAAAATAATATATACTTAGATATATATATATATATATATATATATATAATCTAAGTATATATATATACACACATATACATACACACACGTACACTGTCTAGGTGTATTTTACTATTAATATATATATATATATATATATATATATATATATATATATATATATATATATTAATATCAAATTACACGTAGACTGATACTGATTAAATATATAATTGTTATATATATTTATATATAATATAAAAAACATTTTAAAAAATAATTAAAAAACCAACCCCAAAGCAAAACCAACCCCAAAGCATTTTATAAGTACATAAATCCTAAAAAACCCCAAAATGAAAGTGTAGGTACACTAAAAACTGAAACAGGGGTGTTAATTAATGAAGAGCAGGAAAAGGCAGGAATTTTAAATAACTATTTCTCCTCCGTATATATTAAGGAAGAACCCATGGCAATAGATGTGCAAATGATTGCTATTAAAAACTTGCAGAATAATTGTAATTGGTTAACTCAAGACAAGGTGCTGCAGCAACTAAAGAAAGTTAATATAAACAAAGCTCCAGGGCCTGACGGTATCCATCCACGTGTACTTAAGGAACTAAGTGCAGAAATAAGTGAACCTCTGTTTTTAATCTTTCAAGATTCTTTTCTTTCAGGAAGTGTTCCGGAGGATTGGAGGAAGGCAGATGTGGTTCCTATATTCAAAAAGGGTTCAAAATCCTTGCCTGGAAATTATAGACCTGTGAGCTTAACTTCTGTGGCTGGTAAAATATTTGAAAGGTTATTAAGGGATAATATTCAAGAATTCCTTGAGAAGAACATGGTTATCAGCAAAAATCAGCATGGTTTTATGAAGCACAGGTCATGTCAAACTAACTTGATTGCGTTCTACGAAGAAGTAAGTAGAAGTATAGATCAGGGTGTTGCCGTGGATGTGATCTATTTGGATTTTGCCAAGGCATTTGATACAGTTCCACACAATAGATTAGTGTTCAAACTCAATGAAATCGGTCTAGATGAAAATGCTTGTTCTTGGGTAGAACACTGGCTTAAAAACAGAGTACAAAGAGTTGTCATTAATGGTAAATTTTCAAGCTGGAAAGAGGTGGCAAGTGGTGTCCCTCAGGGGTCTGTTCTGGGATCCCTTCTATTTAACATGTCTATAAATGATCTTGAAGACCGCATTGGAAGTCATGTTTCAGTGTTTGCAGATGACACCAAACTTTGTAAAACAATACAATGTGAGCACTCAAATGGCAGATGAAATTTAATGTTGAAAAATGCAAAGTTATGCACTTCGGCGTAAAGAATACACAAGCAACACATACCCTTAATGGAAGCGAATTAGGGATAACAACACATGAAAAGGACTTGGGAATTGTTATACACAACAAACTATGCAACAATATGCAATGTCAATCAGCAGTGGCCAAGGCCAGTAAGGTATTGTCATGCATGAAAAAGGGCATTCATTCTCGGGACAAGAATATCATTTTGCCTCTTTATAAATCACTGTTAAGACCCCATATTGAATATGCTGTGCAATTTTGGGCACCTGTTCTAAAGAAGGATATTATGGCACTGGAAAAAGTGCAGAGGCGGGCTACAAAATTAATAAAAGGAATGGAACATATCTGCTATGAAGAAAGGTTAACAAATTTAAACCTATTTAGTTTAGAAAAACGTCGCCTGAGAGGGGATATGATAACATTATACAAATATATTCGGGGCCAATACAAACCATTGTGTGGAAATCTATTCACAAACCGGACTTTACATAGGACACGAGGCCATGCGCTTAGACTGGAAGAAAGAAGATTTCGTCTAAGGCAAAGGAAAGGTTTTTTTACTGTAAGAACAATCAGGATGTGGAATTCTCTACCTGAGGAAGTGGTTTTATCAGAGTCCATACAGATGTTCAAACGGCTACTAGATGCATACTTGCAAGAACAGAATATTCAAGGATATAATCTTTCAATGTAGGGTAATAACTGTTTGATCCAAGGATAAATCTGACTGCCATTCTGGGGTCAAGAAGGAATTTTTTTCCTAGCTTGTTGCAAAATTGTGCTTAAAACTGGGTTTTTTTGCCTTCTTTTGGATCAACAGCAAAAAACAAATGTGAGGTAGGCTGAACTTGATGGACGCAAGTCTCTTTTCAGCTATGTAACTATTTAACTATGTAATAAATAATTAAAAAATATATAGATGTGTGTTATTTCGTTCTAACTGTATTGTGAAATTAATATATATATATATATATATATCAAAATACACGTAGAACGAAATAATATATATCTATATACATAAATATATACGTATATATCACTATATATATACCTATATATAAATAAAAATATTAAAAAAAATTATACAGATATATACACATACATATATATGTATGTATATATATATATATATATAATAAATTCTACATATATATTTATGTAATATTTTTACATAATTAGGTATCTTAATTAATTACAATTAGCGGGACCTGCCTGACAACCCATGCCAAAAGTAAAGGGAATTTAATTTGCTAGCACTATATTTAACCCTATAACTTTCCAAGACACCATAAAACCTGTACATGGGGGGTACTGTTCTACTCGGGAGACTTCGCTGAACACAAATATTAGTGTTTCAAAACAGTAACATGTATTACAACGATGATATCGCCAGTAAAAGTGACGTTTTTTGCATTTTTCACGCACAAACAGCACTTACACGGACGATATTATTGCTGCGATACTTTTTACTGTGAAGCCTCCCGAGTACAACAGTACCCCTCATGTACAGGTTTTATGGTGTTTTCAAAAGTTACAGCGTCAAATAAGGCTTGCATTTCATTCTTTTCACATTAAAATTCGCCAGATTGGTTAGGTTGCCTTTGAGACCCTATGGTAGCCCAAGATTGAAAATTACCCCTATGATGGCATACCATTTGCAATAGTAGACAACCCAAGGTATTGCAAACGGGGTATGTCCAGTCTTTTTTAGTAGCCACTTAGTCACAAACACTGGCCAAAATTGGCGTTTTTTGCATTTTCACACACAAACAAATACTAACGCTAACTTTGGCCAGTGTTTGTGACCAAATGGCTACTAAAAAAGACTGGACATACCCCATTTGCAATACCTTGGGTTGTCTACTATTGCAAATGGTATGCCATTATGGGTGTAAATTTCATTCCTGGGCTACTATACAGTCTCAAAGGCAACGTAACCAATCTGGCGAATTTCAATTTCAAATGTAACATGCTATATTTGACCCTGTAACTTCCCAAAACGCCATAAAATCTGTACATGGGGGTACTGTCTTACACGTGAGACTTTGCTGAATACAAATATGTGTATTTTATTGCAGTAAAAGCAAACAGTATTATGACGTTGACCGTTAAAATGTCATGTAGAACTAAAAAAAAATTTAAAAATCGTATTTTCTCCCATTTTTTTCATATTAAATTATGTTTCATTGCTAAATATTTGATATTAAATGAAAGCCCTGTTTCCCCTGAATAAAATGATATATAATAAGGGTGGGTGCATTTACTACGAAAGAGGTGAATTACGGTTGGACAGACATGTAGCGCAAATGCCAGGTTTTGTTTACATTTTGTTTTGTTCACAACGTGTACATTTGGCTCCGTCCTTAAGGGGTTAATATATAGCAAGAGATATACAAATGATTGCTGCAGAAAATCTACAATAAATTGTGATTGCAAGATAAGGTGCTGCTGCCTCCAGGCCAGATGGTGTTCACACAAGTTCTTAAGGAGCTAAGTGGAAAAATAAGCAAACTTGCTTTTCTTCCAAATTTCTTAATGGAAATTATAGACCAGTGAGCTTAATTTTGGTGTCTGGGAACGTATTTGAGTTATTTATTGATATTATGCACAAGTTCATTACGAACAACGTCAGTAGCAGAAATCAATATAGTTTTATAAAACATAGATCGTGTCATACATACCTACTAGTTTATTCTATGAGGAAGAAGTACAAGTATAAATCAGGGGGGTGTGGATGTGATCTACTTGGATTTTGCCAAGGCAGTCGATACGGCTCTACACATTCAAATAAAAAAAAAGAAATCGGTCTACATGAAAATTCACGGGTAGAACATTGGCTTAAAGATAAAGCACAGAGAGTTGTCATTAAAGTTAATTTTTTAAGCTGGATAAAAAAGTGGGAAGTGCTATCCACTCAGGTGTCTGGTGTTGAACCTAGTTCTAGTCAACCTATTAAATAATCTTAAAATGGGCATTGAAGGTCATGTGTCAGTATTTGCAGATGACACAAAACAAAGTAAAGATAATGAACTGTGAGCAATATATTACTTCAAAAATAATTTTTTAATTGATCCCTATAGAGGATTAGTAAGTCATGCTGGGGAGCTTGCAAGGGCATAACCCACAGAGCATTGGAGAATAATAACTAATTCAAAGAACCCCTACTAAAAGAGGAAAAATGATAAGGAAAGTTTATTCAAAATTGTACAAAACTATTGAAAATCAGTAGTATTTAAAGTCTCAAATAATCATTAAAAAAAAACAATAACTAATAATAAACCCATCACCAAACAAAAGAAAATATATACATGTGGAGTCTCCTTATTAGATCTCAGTCTATGGAGTGAATATAGGGAGGACATATGTTTATAATCACACAAAGGTAAATGACCCGGCAATATAAACCACAATTGATCCTTAGTAAAATAACAAAGAGGACGGTTACGGAAAATGCTACTTAATTAGTGTAGATACTCACTGGAAGGTAAACTATTAGTCTGTCTTGATATAATGATACTCGAGTTAAGTATGTAAAAATCAAGTCTCTGTAACACTAAGGTATATTAGGTATATTACATTTGACTACATAAACCCAGAAAATTTGGTGGAAAGGGTAAAATAAAACAAAAAAACCTCACAAGTAACTAATGAAAAAAGAAGAACATTTATTTGTAAAGGATAACTTGTTCCTAATGGTAAAATTGTATACTGCAAAGCATATAGCCTCCTAATACCAAAGGTTGGATCTCCGACATAAGGAGGTATTGGAGAGTGCAACCACGACTTAACCACTTATTTACTGTCAGGATTATAGAATGATCCAGCACGTAGAATTGTGTAACACAGAGGACTGATAGGTAACGTATACCGGACCTTAGAATGGCCGGACTAACGTACCCAAGAATAGTCAGGAATAGCCGGGGTCAAGGAACACAGAAAGAGACACAACGATAAGGAAAAGCCAGGAGTCAGGGATGCCAGAAACAAGGGAGGTCAAAATCAATGCCAAAGTCAAATAACCAGAATAACCAGAATCAATAACGCGCTCTCGGACAACCACAAGGGAAACCATGACAGGGCACTGAGCAGGATGAGAACTGGGCCTCTAGGTCTGATAGGCTGTAACCAGCCTTTGACCCCAAAGGCAGTTACCAGATCCCATTTGCATAATTGCTGCTCAGCATTAACCCTTCTGTGGATTTGGTTGTTGCTCGGCACAACTTTTCCTGTGTGGACAGTAAATGTCATTAACCACATTTTTGTAAGCGGATGAATACGTGACATTTACCTTGCAATGTTTAAGGCTCTTCTATCAATGGTTAAAAAGAGTCAAAGGTAGCTTTGCAATAACACATCCCAAAGAAATCGAATTATAGCTAGAAACTCTTACGGACAAATCACCACACACATACCGTGAAAAATGAAATACAACTAAGTTAAGCGCCTGTGTGTGCCTTCTCCTTCTTTTGAATCAACAGCAGAAACAGAAGTTACAAAGACTGAACTTGATGAACCCAAGTCTTTTTTCAGCCTTTATAACCATCGGATTTGGGACAACTATTACTGAGCCAGAACCCTATATGGTGTTAAACCTGTATTTAATTACACAGAAAATTAGTCTCAAACAAATGGAGGATTTTATTAAATATAAACAAGACAATATTTAAAGTATAATTGTTAAACACAAAATACCAATACATATTTAATCATACAAGAAAGGGTAGCAAAATGTTCAGTTATAAATAAACTTACAAATACATATAAAATAATAGTAGACATTGAACAGTCAATATTAAACACATTAAAAAAAAAACAGATACAGCTGTTAATATTGGTTCAACGTTTAGTGATATAACAAGAAGTATATGTTTAATTGTAAAACAGTGAGAATTTAGCAGAGACTATAAAATAATGTAACATGTTGCTCTTTGACACATATCACATTTGGATGTTAACATAAATCTGTGCAGTCTACAATTTACACAGTCTTCTCTTTACACTCAGCTTCATGATAAAACCAAACACAGTTAAGCCTTCTCATAGAATAGTATTGTAATACTCATCTATAAGGAGAATTCTATTGGAGCAGTGCTACTTTGTCACACATGCCCAGTAGGGTCACCAATAGTCCTTTATGGAGAAGTATTTGATTGCCAAAGAGCATCCGTCCGGATGATTTCACACAAAGGAGAAGTTGCAGCAGCTAAAGATGAGCAAATCAGTGGATTTTTAGAGGTGAGTTTTACTTTATTTTGTTATTTTCTCAAGGGGGAGCCTAACAATCTAATGCCCCAAGGAACAAACTAACATTAATATACATATATGTATGACGTTAAGGAATATACTTTCAGATTAGAAGGCTGTAGAAAAATAACTCCACATTTTAAAGGTCCAAATTTTACAATGAATTAGTAAGGCCACACGCTGCAATAGATTCCTATAGACTGTGTCAACCATTATGTTATCTGTATGAAAGTTTTATGATAAAATCACATGTTCTTCTATAAACACGGCAAGGTTTAGGATAGAATTAAAATAAAGAGAACACGGAAAACCTGTTCAGCCCATAATTTTTAGTATGGTAGATCCCCGAAATAGCTGACCATGCGCTGTGTGTCTTCTACACCTGGGCACAAATACTTTTCACCAGAGACGAACAAATAAAATTCCCGTTAATCTGTGCTCGAATTGTCACGTAAATCCAGGATGGATCTCTTCGTTCAAGCAAAAATTAACAGGAACTATATTTATTGAGGCACAAGTCTAGTGTCTACAATTTCTCTCTATGAGAAGCGCAGTGAACACATTGCAATGTGTTTCAATGAGACAGGACTTTAGGGTTCTAGGATAGGATTTCATAACAGATAAATGCCAATTTTTATGTCAAATGCATTACTCGAGAGAACATTGTTTTTTTAACGTATACTGTTCCTTTAAAACATGTAATCTTTTATCTATTGACAATTTTAGCAAGTGTTTTTTATTCAATTCTTGACCATTATGGATTTTAATAATCTGTTTTCCTACTTATGTTGTTAATAAATGTAGAGAGGATATGCTCCATGCCTTCATCTAATAAACATTTTCTACTACATAGATAGTGTTGGTATGCAGCCTCAGTTTATCATATGGCTAAATCTTTATGAGAAATATGACAGCAGTGGATATATTCGAAAAGATTAGTTGTATTCTTTTTTAAAAGATGTTGCAAGATACAATAGTTTAGAAAATATCCCTGTTCAAATGAGTTGCAAAAATTTCTTGTTAAATATTTAAAATATATAAATTATTTTTAAGTTCTTAAAGGGACAATACACATCCTACCTTTATCATATCTAAACATGAATTACATTTTGAGTAGGAGGCCAGTTAATATGAAGATATTCAAAGAAAATAGTAGAGAGTACGTAATAAATATGCGGATCCAAAACAGCTAGGTAAAAGGAAATCTTTTTGTTTGGGACCAGCAATTTCTAGTTCTACCTCGGAGTGCAAGCGTCTATGAAGAACCAAATTCTGCCATCCATTTTTCATACTTCTCCAAATCTGTAGCAGAGACTGACTTTGAAATCTTTTTTAGAGCCTGCTCAAAATCCATCATAGTGACAGGCATCTGAAGCTCTGACTTGGACAAGGCACGCATCTGTTCCGGTGTTAAGCCCTCAATACGTCTTCGCATAGCCATCATAGAAGCATCCCTGAAAAACAAGTTTTACACAACGTTGTATATGAGGAAAAAATGGCAAAATTATAACATTAATCCATAAATACACAGATTCAAGTAAAGTCTAAACGTGGCTCACTGGGAGATTCCACTAAGCTATGTGTACACAATATGTCATAAAACAAACATTCAAGTCAGGACTGTTTTTATACTCACTTTCAACACACTCATTCATTCATTCATTAAAGGACCACTCTAGGCACCCAGACCACTTCATTTTAATGAAGTGGTCTGGGTGCCTGGTCCCTCTAGGGTTAACCCATTTTTTTATAAACATAGTTTCAGATAAACTGCTATGTTTATAAATGGGTTAATCCAGCCTCTAAAGCCTCTAGTGGCTGTCTCATTGACAGCCGCTAGAGGCGTTTGCGTGCTTCTCACTGTGAAAGTCACAGTGAGAAGACGCCAGCGTCCATAGGAAAGCATTATGAATGCTTTCCTATGAGACAGGCTGAATGCGCGCGCTGCTCCTGCCGCGCATGCGCATTCAGCCGAAGAGGAGGATCAGAGGCGGAGAGGAGGAGGAGGAGGAGGAGGAGGAGGAGGAGGAGAGCTCCCCGCCTGGCGCTGGAAAAAAGGTAAGTTTAACCCCTTTCCTCGCCATCCAGCCCGGTGGGAGTGGGACCCTGAGGGTGGGGGCACCCTCAGGGCACTATAGTGCCAGGAAAACAAGTATGTTTTCCTGGCACTATAGTGGTCCTTTAAGATTCAAATACAATTTGTATGTCATGCTTAACCTGTAGAATAACAACCATACACAATTAAAATGATCTAATTTTTGTCGTTTAGGAACTTACTGAAATAGAAGCACCATAGATAAAACATGCACTTTGAAATAATACACTTGTGTATGCTTATTCTCCAAAAATGTTTTTGTTTTAATTGAGATTTCAAAAGTGGTGGAAATTTTAAGTCAAAACAGCCAGATTGGGAAATATTGGGAGTTACCACCAAAATATAACACAATGTTCAGTGAATAAATTCCCTTATTTTGGAAATCAAAACCTGGACCTATTAATAAGAAGCAATGATGAACATTGAGATCTGAGGAAATACAAAGAACATTTTATCTTTCTTTCACGTTTAGCCTAGTTCAACAAAAGTTACATAATCTCTCTCTTATAATCTTTAAGATTCAGTTGGACTACAGGTAATTAAAACGGTACTATTAAGAACCTCGAAATGTCCCAAGATATTACATTTGTAATTACATTTCTTAGAAATAGAAAAACGTTGATTAATTGCTTTCAGCACAGCCAGGTTTCTTTTACAAAATCCAATTATTTACAAAAAGATTACATTTTCTTACAAAATGAGATCTTAATTTTAAGTCAAGACAAACTATAGAAAAGGTATAAAGAAGAGAACATTCAACGGACTATGCCTAGCATTACAAAAAGTTCAAACAATACAACAGTCCATCATAGGAGAGAAAATAATTCAATTTAAACATGAAATCTAAAATTGTAAGAACCCAAAAAGTGACAATGTGCTTTAAAACAGTACAGATAACAAAAAAACAGAGGTACCAATTGTAGTAATGTAACAAAAAGCAATGAACTATAGAATTTGAAATGAAGGGATATAGAGTAAAAAGAGAGCAAAATAAAGGAGTGATAAAATGTTGGGATATTGGTCAGCATATATGAGAAAGGCAAAATTAAGCCCTACACTCAAACTCCCACTACTCCTGGACAGCAGCAATGATTATAGTACGCATCACCCTTAAAACATACTATAAAAACCAAAGAAAAATTGTTACTCGCGCACTACCCCAATCCCTATGCACATTTAAATAACTGGATTCTTTTTGGTATCATTCCAATGGCCATTTAGGTGTAATCTGCCACGTCAAGGCACGACCTCTTAGGCCAGTCCTACAGTAACAAATTACCTTGCTGTCTGAGCTTACACTTAAATGGCCATTGGAGGGATGCTATAAACCTCCAGTTATTTAAATGTGCATAGGTATTTGGGATAGTGCGCAAGTAACTTTTTTATTGTTTTTTTTTTTTTTATTGTATGTATTGGGGCTGATGTGTCCTCTAGTCATTGCTGCAGCCCAGGAGTAGTGGAAGTTTGAGTGCAGGGCTTAATTTTTTATATTTGTACTTGCTTTTGTATCATACAGACATGATACAGTGCAGCCACCCACCTCACGTGTTTCCTATTAAGGGTTAATGAGTGTGTAGGGGTTTAGAAAAAAGCCCCTCTTTTGTCTCAGAGATTTTTACCTGTTAGCTGGAAACAGCAGGGTGAATTGTTAATGTAGGACTCACCTAAGAGGTTTTTGCTTCATGTTGCAGGTGAGCTTACACTTAAGTGGCCAATGGAGTGATACAAAAAAACCCGCCAGTTATTTTAATGTGCATAGGGGTTTGGGATAGTGTGCAAGTAACTTTTTTCTTTTTTTTTTTTTCTTCAATATATGAGACAGGAATTCATTATTACATGAGGTCAGCAACAGATAGTTATGGTGATTGGTAGTGAGGAGTTCAATTTCTCCACCAAAATGTATTTTGGTGGCCTGTTCTGATAGAAGCAACAAAATTATTCTGAAGAATTCGGATAATTTGAATGTCATATTGAAAAAGTACTTTGGAAAAGAAGAGCACTTGGTACCAAATATTTCTAAAGAGAATCTCCTGACAAAATATTAAAATATTTATAGTATTTAAGTGTGGACTAAATAATGTTTTTGCTCTCCTAACACTATTCTCTAGGATTGAAACCTTTCATGGTCAATACAGAGCAAGTCCTTCAAGGGATATTCTGACCAGATGATATTCTTCAAGAGAGATAAAACTGGGATTCCATATTTGATATAAAAATTGGTTCATCTTACATAATTGTGCTATTAATGTAGGGAGACATATGGGAAACACTTTTCATTGTATAAGAAGGGGATCTTGATTTATTTATAGGTCTAGGAGAAAACAACTCAATATCTTTCCTCTTTAACCCCTTAAGGACACATGACATGTGTGACATGTCATGATTCCCTTTTATTCCAGAAGTTTGGTCCTTAAGGGGTTAAAGAACTTCTACATGGTTTGACTTTGCAGGTTGTCTGGAGTCAGAAAATAGGTAAAGCCAGTGATCCCATGGGGGGACTGCTCCCTCTTAAATCTTGGTTGTAAAATGTATTTATTTATTTATAAAATATTTGACCAGGAAGGATACATTGAGATTTTGCTAGTTTTCGAGTATGTCCTGGGTAAAATACAGGAGAATAGAACATTGCTCATTTTATAATGCTCTCATCATGAACTACTTCTTGAACTCTACTATAGGCACATGTTCAACTAGACTTGAACTATAATTAACTAATGAAAACACCGCATGAAGAGGCTGCACATAATAGCACAGCAGGAGAATTCCCTTATTTCAAGAGAGGCATCCCTGGTATTGGAAGTGCTAGCTGCAACCTTTCCAATCTTATTTTATATAAATAGCATATTACCAACTAATCATAGTTAACACTGTTAGAAGGGAGGGAGTGATAAATGAGAACTCAGACAGATTAGACTACATGTATACCCAAGTCACAGCATACGGTTAGCAAGCATACTAGAAATTCATAGTGTGTTAGTATTGTAATATGCTACCGTTCGAACTAAAATAAGAAATATAAAAAATGTATGAAAATCCACATGACAGACCGTGAGTCCTATAATTACTCATTGTTACTCGGGTGTGCAAGTGACCTATCAATTGATTTTTACTTTTGTTATTCAACTGAATAAAGAAAACCTAGGCTGTGAAGGGCATGTAAAACAAAACAAACGCACACATTTCTAAAAGGTCGTGTTACCATGACAATCCAATTACTATATAAAGATGCAAGTCAAGTAATTAATGCACTATACTCAGGAAATAAATTCACCACTTATCATCGTGTAATCAAAAAAAGCCACAGAAATAACGGCTTTCATTGTATCCCCATAAAAAGCTGTAGGACAAATCCTTTTTTAAATTTATAATTGCTGTGTGGTAATAATTTATAGGCGAGTGTGTTTTTATTAATGTAAGAAAATATAGAGTTAAAATGGCGTCCAATCAATAACTCAGAGCAGCTAGCGTCCACCCAGAATAATGTCAACAACTACCTAAATACACAGTACAAAACAAAGGCAAAAGGTAGAAGCAAACACAAGATTAAAATAACAACCCTCGATAGGCATTTAGTTCATAGGAATATGGTAACTCTACAAACATCATAGTGTAGTATATATAGTTATAAACATCAAATAAGGATTTTCCAATTGAGTCACTAACATGGAGTTGAGTCTTTATAAGTCGGGTCAGAACTCCGTAATCACGATAAATCAGACAGCATACAAATAAAGTATTATTTTATTGTGTAATTGTTTGCATCAGCCTTCTGAAGTCCAGCAGTCTTTATGAAAAGTTCTTAACGTTGCTCAAACCTATGATTCTCAAATTCTTTCCTCTTCTTCTTTTTCATAATCTGAACTTCCTTTCGGACCTATTTTTCTTTAAAACATAAAAAGTTGGGACTACTTTGTTTTGTGAATTTTTCCTACACTTGACAATCTTGACATAGGGTGGAGCTTAAGGCAAACTTAATTATTTGTTAGCAAGAGAAAGGAAGAGGAGTTTGCCTTGGCTTCACCCTTTTGTCACAAGTGTAAAGAAATGGATCAGAAAGGAAGAAAGCAAGTCCATATTTTGAACGAGGAAGAAAAGAGGAAATAATAGGATAATGGTAAGCTAGAGGTGGCAGAGCCACTTTAAGAAGAAATATATTCAGAGAAGCATCTCTGTTTGGCTGAGTAGGTGTCACGTATTCATCCGCACATAAAAATGTGGTTAATGGCATTTACCGTCCTGACAGGAAAAGTTGTGGCGAGCAGCAATCATGCACATGGAAACCTGGTAATTGCTTTTGGGGTCAAAGGACGGTTACAGCCAATCGGATCCACAGGAGGGGTATTTAAACCCAATTCTCTTTTTGCTCACTGCCCTGTCGTGGTTTCATCCTGATGGTAATCCGAGAGTGGGTTCCTGATCTTAATTTTCTGGTATTTGACTTTGTTTTGACTTCCCTGAATTCTGGTATCATTGACATTTGGCTTTCCCTCATCGTTGTGTCTGATTCCGTGTTCCTGACCTCGGCTAGTATTTTGACTATTCTTGGATACGTTAAGTTTGGCCATTCTAAATTCCGGTTATACGTTATCCTTAGTCCTAGGTGTGACACAGTTCTGCGTGCTGGATCAACTGTAATCCCGACAATAGGATGTCTGATTGATTTACGGTGCCTGCTAAGTTCCAAGCTGACTTACAAAAGGCTCACCAGATGTGAGTGACCAACATAGGATAGCCTTATTTGCCTTTTTTACCGAAATATACTGGTTATTTCTTTACAAGTTTTTGTAGAGTTGCCACATACCTATAAACTGAATGCTTTTCTTGGGTGGTATCTGTTAATCTTTTGTGTGCTTTGTACTTTTGCTTTTGTAGTGAGTTTATATTAACTATTGCTTAATGGTACGTAGTTATTGGGAAATAATGAATCTGTTCCAACTTACAAACTGTAACACACAAACATATTACGGGGGATGAGGACACGGTGTGGTTTCTACTGTAAATGAGATGGAGTAAGACTTTTAAGTAAGAACATAAAGACTAGTGATAGAAGAATTTACTTTATCATTGCATTCAAGAAGAGAACTCCGTATTATGACAAACACACATCACTAAATAAATTGTAATGTAACAGTAGAAAAAATAAAAAGTCTGATCTGCTGCTGGAAACCACAATAAAAGCTTAATAACTCAATTTATGAATTAAATACTGAATGAATTTTGAGTATTCTGATAATATATTTTTATGAAATTAGGCCACAGCAGGTTTCCATACTTTACTGCTTAAAAGGTTTGCTTTTAAAATGTAGATAAGCATTACATGCAGAGAAAGCCTTTGACCGCATCGGCTGGCCCTTTCTGAGACAGACGTTACCTGCCTATGAGTTTCCTTCACAACTTGTGAAAGAAATCTTAGCATTATATTCTACACAGAGAACCCAAGTAATGCAGGCGGGATTCCTGTCTAGCCCATTTACCATTTCTAACAGGACAAGACAGGGTTGCCCTCTGTCCCCCTTGTTGTATGTCCTTGCCCTAGAGCCCCTCCTTTGTACCATTAGAGACCATCGATTCACTGCATAACATTGCATGGGACTGAGCACAAGATAAGTGCGTTCGCAGACAATATATTACTTTATATTACTGATCCCTTAGAATCTCTCCCTCCTCTTATATGCTTAATAGAGGATTATGGCCTGCACTCCTAATATTCCCTAAATACGGCGAAGACACAGGCCTTGTGATGAATATACTGCGGAATACATACTCTTTTTGAATAGAGGAGGGATAGTTTAAAATACCTGGGCCTTCGGTTTACAATAAAGGTCACGGATTTGTATACAGGAAACTATATTCGGGTTTGGAATGACTGCAAATCAATACTAGCTAGATGGGGTTCCCTGTTCCTGGCATGGATAGATAGGATAGTTGCATTAAAGAGGTCAATACTCCAGAGACTGCAGTATGTATTCCGCACTCTGTCGATCTCTGTTCCGCAGTCCTTTTTTTTTTTTTTTTTTTTAATGTTCAGAAAGATATATCCGGATTTCTTCGGGTGGGTAGTAATGCCCGGGTATCTATGAAATTTCTGAAGGCGCCTGTGACAGAGGGCGGGTTGGCTGTCACGGATGTCTGTGCCTATCATCACGCCTCGGTACTAGCATCTGCACTGCCACACTTTCTCAAAACTCTCTTCCTGTCACCCCCCAAACCCCTCACAACCTCACGCATTTGTATTATTTTTATTCACAAACACAGTTAAAAGATTTCCCCTACCTCATGTCAACACATGGTATACCCTTGACATCACAGTTTTCATATAGGCAATTGCAATCTTTCCTTCAAAGCAATAAGACTCAGGACCCTCACTCACCATAATACTTGAAACATTTGACTCAGATTGCTACCCCCTCCCCACTTTCCTTCTGTACCCCGATCCCTGTTTGAAAATTAAAAAAAGTTTACATTTAAAATGTAGATAAGCCACTCAAAAAGAAAATCAGTAGCTCCCCTTTCATAAAAAAATATTGTTACATACCTTTTTGTGAATGGGGAATTACTGATAGGCCGAGCAGGCATAGGCAACCTTTGGCACTGCAAATGTGGATTACATCCCCCATAATGTCCTTACCCAAAGCATCATGGGAGGTGTAGTCCAAAACATCTGGAGTGCCAAAGGCTGCCTATCACTGTCCGTGAGCATCAGCTGAATGCCTTATACCAATCACCAGTGGCCTTTTCCTCCCCCCCCCCTCCCCCATGAAATCGAGCAATATAGAACCATTATAGATGTGATTAAACAACACCATTTGTTCAAATATATGACATTTTTAAAAAGTGGCATAATCATAGATTGGTAAAAAGGAATTCTGTATTTCTGCACTATTATTACAAAATGTGCTTAGTAAAATTAAAAACAAACAAAACAAAAACACTGGGTTTAAAATAGCCTGCAAATCTATATTGTAATTCGTTGCAGTTTATTTAAATATATTAAAGTGTGTAGGTCACATTAAATGAACAGAACATTAAAGGACCACTATAGGCACCCAGACCACTTCAGCTTAATGAAGTGGTCTGGGTGCCAGGTCCAGCTAGGATTAACCCTTTCTTCTATAAACATAGCAGTTTCAGAGAAACTGCTATCTTTATAATAGGGTTAATCCAGCCTCTAGTGGCTGTCTCCTTGACAGCCGCTAGAGGCGCGTCCGCGATTCTCACTGTGATTTTCACAGTGAGAAGACGACAGCGCCCATAGGAAAGCATTGAGAATGCTTTCCTATGGACTGGCCGAATGCGCCCGCGGCTCATGCCGCGCATGCGCATTCAGCCAATGATGACGAGAAGGAGGAAGAGAGGAGGAGGAGAGTCCCCCGCCCGGCGCTGGAAAAAGAGGTAAATTTAACCCCTTCCACCCTCAGAGCCCATCGGGAGGGGAGCCCAGAGGGTGGGGGGGGGACCTAGAGACCCTATAGAGCCAGGAAAATGAGTATGTTTTCCTGGCACTATAGTGGTCCTTTAATCACTAGCTGGTGTAGGCAACCTTTGGCACTCCAGATAATGTGGACTACATCTCCCATAATACGCTTATATCCATAATGCTGGCAAAGGATAAGGAGAGATATAGTCTTTAACATGTGGAGTGCTGATGGTTGCCTATCCTACACTAGAGTATAAAAATATCCATTTTGTTTTGTTACCATTTTTTAATGGTTCATTAACATTTGATATCACTTTAATAACACTTATTTCCAAGAGAAAATAACTATAAATTTAAAATGCAATTTCCAACATGCATTTGACCACCATTCCCTGACCAGCTCTTTATTTTCCCATGTATTTAAATGTTTACAAACAGAAATCCCACAGTCACCTTTAAGACCGCTTGTCTCTCACACTACATACTATAACATTATATCCAATACCTTTGATTAATTTATAGAATTCATCATTATCCTTACTGCTTTCCATAAGACTTGTGTCCTTGTTTATTATTATTATTATTATTATTATTATTATTATACATAAGAGATTACATATGTTCATGCGTAATATTTTGTAACACACACATACAGGCGATACTCCAAAAATTTGAATATCGTGCAAAACTTCATTTATTTCAGTAATGCAACGTAAAAGGGGAAACTAATATATGAGATAGACGCATTACATGCAAAGCAAGATAGTTTAAGCTGTGATTTGTCATAAGTGCGATGATTATGGCTTCCAGATCATAAAAAAAAAACAAATCCACAATCTCAGTAAATTAGAATATTACATGCAATCAATAAAACAAGGTGTGGTGAAAGCGGCCTCGTCACTGGTTTTTGGAGAGGACTACTTGCCAGCCTCCTGCCATGTGACTATGGCCCTAGGGTGTATGGCCCTTTAAAAACAGCATTTGGGCTTATGGACTTGTATTGGACCGTGTTGGCCCTTTAAGAACCGTCTGGGGACATATTGAGACTTTGTGTGACAATGCCCCTTTAAGACTATGTCCCCAGACCTTTAAAATCCTTTGTGCAGGGCTTTCTCCCACTTGGTTCAGTAAATGGGGCTTACTGAACCAAGTGCACCACAGGCGGACCACCCAGAAGTGGAAGCGTGCAGGCAATTTACCTGTAGGTAAATTGCCGACCAATGGGTGGCTGCCGTTCGTACAAACGAACACGTTGTGGCTGCCATCTTTATTCAGCTGAACGCGGTCAGCGGTGTGTGCTGCCAAATTCATGGAACTGAAATTGGCTACACATTTCAACGAACACCGCTGACCCTTACCTTCTCCTCCACTAATTTTTCAGCCACAGAGATTAAGTCCCGTTCGGTGATTCGAACGCATGTTCGAATGGGACTTCGTCATTTTTTCAGTGTAAAATAGACCTACCGCACAGCCCAAATCTATGGAACTGTTTTGGGCAAGAAAATGTGCTTGCTGTCGGTCATAAAGGACTTCCGACTAACTTTTGAACTACTGGAGGGATTTGTATGATTTTTGAGAGTGTTTATTTTTAAAATATGCTGATTATTAATATGAAACTTTTAGGAAGATTGGATGTATAGTTTTAAAGTTACAGTACATGTATAAAAAGTATATTTTTCCTGCCTATGATAATTACATTAACGTATTGTGTTCAGTACTTGTATCACAGGCAGAGGGGAGGATTTTGTGTGAATGAATGGGAGTGTTTAGCTGTGTTGTAATGTTTTGATTGGTTGTTCTTCAAAGCCCTGTGGTCGGTACTATGTGTGTAAAATGTGCATAAAAGCAGAGTGTTTCAGGAGTCCTCAGGAAGCGCTAGGAGCATCCTTTAACCCATTAAGGACACATGACATTTGTGACATGTCAAGATTCCCTTTTATTCCAGAAGTTTGGTCCTTAAGGGGTTAACAGAGGTACCCAGACAGGGTGTCAGGTGATCCGTTACACAAGGAGTGTACATAGAAACAATATCGGACCTCTGAAAAGTATAAGCATGCATATGGACTCCATAATTGGTTTGGGCCCCTTTTTCAGCAATTACTGCCTCAATGCAGCGTGGCATGGAAGCTATCAGCCTGTGGCACTGCTGAGGTGTTATGGAAGACCAGGATGCTTCAATAGCGGCCTTCAGCTCTTCTGCATTGTTCGTTCTCATGTCTCATCTTTCTCTTGGCAAAGCCCCATAGATTCTCTATGGAGTTCAGGTCAAGCGAGTTTGCTGGCCAATCAAGCACAGTAATCCCATGGTCAAACCAGGCTTTGGTGCTTTTGGCAGTGTGGGCAGGTGCCAAGTCCTGCTGGAAAATGAAGTCAGCATCCGCATAAAGCTCGTCTGCAGAAGGAAGCATGAAGTGCTCCAAAATCTCCTGGTAGACGGCTGCATTGACCCTGGACTTAATGAAGCACAGTGGACCAACACCAGCAGATGACATGGCTTCCCAAATCAACACAGACTGTGGAAACTTCACACTGGACTTCAAGCATCTTGCAGTGTGTGCCTCTCCATTCTTCCTCCAGACTCTGGGTCCTTAGTTTCCAAATGTGATACAAAAGTTGCTCTCATCAGAAAAGAGGACTTTGGACCATTGAGCAACAGACCAGGTCTGTTTTTCTTTAGCCCAGGTAAGATGCTTATGACATTGTTTGTTGGTCAGGAGCGGCTTGACAAGAGGAATACGACATCTGAAGCCCATGTCCAGGATCCGTCTGTGTGTGTGTGGTGGCTCTTGATGCACTGACTCCAGCCTCAGTCCACTCCTTATGAAAGTCCCCAACACATTTGAATGGCCTTTTCCTGACAATCCTCCCCGGGCTGCGGTCATCCCTGCTGCTTGTGCACCTTTTTCTTCCACACTTTTCCCTTCCACATAACTTTCTGTTAATGTGCTTTGATACAGCACTTTGGGAATATCCAACTTCCTTCGCAATTACCTTTTGAGGATTTCCCTCCTCATGGAGGGCATCAATAATGGTTTTCTGCACAACTGTCAGTTCAGCAGTCTTCCCCATGATTGTGATTCCTACTGAACCAAACTGAGAGACCATTTAAAGGCTCAGAAACCCTTTGCAGGTGTTCTGGCTTACTTAGCTAATTAGAGTGGGACACTGTGAGCCTAGTATATTGCACCTTTTCACAATATTCTAATTTACTGAGATTGTGGATTTGGGGTTTTCGTGAGCTGTAAGCCATAATCACACTTATGACAAATCACGGCTTGAACTATGTTGCTTTGCATGTAATGCGTCTATCTCATATATTAGTTTCCACTTTTACGTTACATTACTGAAATAAATGAAGTTTTGCATGATATTCTAATTTTTTGAGTATCACCTGTACAGGTAAATCCCTCATTTCATTGCATCTCTGGTCTTATTCTTGCTTGGAGGAAGCAACCATCTTTAAGTTCTCAATTTTCTCAGAAGCACCACTTATCTGACCAAAAATTGCAGACAATCATGAACTAGTGTGAGATCACAAAAACCGTTGTCATGCACAAGCACTAAAAGGGACACTATTGACACTCAGACCACTTCAACTCATTGAAGTTGTCTGGGTACAGTGTCCCTATTGCACTTCGTGCTGCAATGTAAAACACTTTTGGAATGTTACCGTACCTTTGGTACAACTTTGTATTCCTGGCACTATAGTATCCCTTTAAAGAAAAGCACTCTGGGACTGTTTCAGAACTTCACATTGTGCCTGGTCTTCGCAGAAAAGCAGGCCAACTACAACCTACCCCACAAAGCAAGGGTAAGCTTACTTAGAGCTTGCTAGGATGAGAGGAAAGAAGATCTAATGTGTGAATATAAATACCTGCAGACATTGGTTATATCTGCACCGGAATAGCCTTCAATCTTCTCAGCAATGGTTTCAAGGTTAACATCAGGATCTATTTCAAGTTCTCGCAGGTTTATTTTCAGCAGTTCTGCTCTTCCACTTGCTGTTGTAGAAAAATAGGGATCTTATATTAGCATCATCAAAAACACATTGTTACACTGGTTTGCTTATTGAGAATAATGCAGGGTTATAGGACACAATTTCCAGATCATTGTTTGATAAGAGAGTTCACTAAGCACCACCCACTTATCTCCCCCTCAACTTTCAACACACTAAGGACTGATGAATCCTTAAACAGGTGGTGACCAAAAAGTACATAAACAATAATAGAACTACAAATCCCATGATGCTCTGACAGTATTTAAAAATCTTCCTCAGGCTACTAGCTACAGCTCCCCCGTACGTCACCCGAATGTATTTGATACAAGTAGTGCACACATGCGCATCTTCTATTCTCTGTCATTTCCTAGCTAATACTTTATTCAATTGTGTAGCACCTCAAGTGGCCTGGATTTGCTACTTAGGTAGCTTTTTTAGTTTTTTAATGAAATGCTAAAAAAGTGGTAAATCTACCCTAGAGTGTTGCTTTAAAGTGGCCGTGTCACCTAAAACCTACCTTTCTCCTATGGTTTCCTCTTCTCTTTCCTAAACTGTTCTTATTTTCTTAATTTCTGAGTTGTAGGGACTACTTCATCTTATATATTTTCCTAGGCTTGAAAAATCCCCCCCCCCCGCCAAAAAAAAACAAAACAAAAAAAAAACGATTGCTGATGAAATTTGGTCCATGCAATTTGTTCTATAATTCACTCATTTTAGTTGCAAGGTGGGAGCTACCGGCTCGCGGCTTCCTCCTTGTAATATATTAAAATAGAATATGCCTAAATTCTCCCAAGCTCCCCTCACGTTATGGGGTGACCTCTAAATGCAAGTATTTTTATTTTACAGGTATTTAGTTTATTGCCCCACCATTACTATTATTAGGGTGACGGGGTAGTTAGGTCATTTTCTTTTATGGAGGTTTACAAGGGGCTTGGGGAACCATAGTCACCAGTGGGGGAGTGACTATGGGCTTGGGAATATTTTATTTATTTTTTTTAATATTTATACAAACCAGCCCTACAAAGGAGAACATTATAAACTATGCTCAAAAAAAAAATAAAGTACAGTGTCTTGTTTTATATTCAGTCAGACCCTTAAAGGCAAAATGCTTTTATAAAAGAAAAAAAAGATTTTTTTTGCTTCAGAACATCCAATTGTTTTGTTTCCATAACAGGAGATAAGAAATGCCATTTGACTTCACTTGACAATCATTCAATCGTCTGACACAAGAAGATGCCTTCACTTGCATTTACAACTATAAAAATAAATTTAAAAAAAGTGAAGTTCCCCAACGTGGAAGGTCTCAAATGTAGGCCTCCTTCTTGACACAGTCTTTATGCAATGGCATATTGCTCATATAAAAGTTCTCTTATCCTAAAAAAGTCTTCACAAAGACATCCCTCTAAGCCAATCCGTCCAGTTTAAGTCCTCCGAACAGCCACCATATTGTTATAGATAAGCATGCCACCAACAAACTCAGCCTGTATCCCCTCCCGCAGGAGAACTTGCTTAAAATCAGAAAGCCGTGGTTCATTCATAAAGACAGACTGATGTCCTGGAACCTCATTACTTGGTAATGGCTCAAGAGTCAGGATGATCTTAGTTTCCTCTGTGAAGTCTTTGTCATCATCGCCAAAGAGGCTCTTTATCACTTTCTGCTGAGCAAGGATATTGGCATCTGATCCAGGAGGGTTCACTTGCATTACTGAGTCCTCTCTGTCATCCTTCAACTCTCCCTCCTCCAGGATGACACCTGTGTCCACCTTAGACACCCACATGTCCAGAACTCCATCAATCCACGCTAATTCAGTGTCCATGGCTTTGCAAAACTTAAGAGAGCTGACTAAAGAGTCCTTCAGTCGAACCTGGTATATGTGAGTCTCACTTGTGGCATTCACTGTTTCATGTAGTTTTGGGATGTACACTTTAATGTCTTTGCCTCCAAATGCTCTGCACGCCTCAGCCAGGTTTCGTCTGGCATCCGGCGGTCCATGTAAAATAACCAGCTGGCGGGGCTTCATCTGGTTAATAATCTTTTTGATTGAGTTGCCATCAGAGCGACCCTCGTAGTCGATGTACGTCACTCGTGCTTTGATTTCCAACGGTTCTGTTGTGGAGACACATTTGGCAGGAACGTCAGTTAAGTCTTCGTCCATTGGTTCACCATTAGCTAGGCCAGATTCCAGTTTGCTTTTTTCCCCTCTTCCGTGGCTTGAAGCTCTGGAACCAAGATGTCTTAAATGTCCCATTTAATTCTCTCTCCTTGTGCAAGAAACATGGGATAGGATTCTTTTTGGGAATATTTTTTATTATCACCCCCACCGTCCACCTATCTTTCTTCCTCCTTCCCACTTTATTATTTAGAGCTCCCACGTGCTGCCAATGGATGGGGGCATAGGTGAATAATGGGTTCACTCCCCCACCACTTTATTATTTAGGGCCCTCATCTGCCACCAATGAGTGTGTGGGGGCTAAAGGCACATTATTGGGTTAGCGACTGAAGAGAAATAGCTGCCCAGCCGCTTGTCTTTTTTTTTTTTTTTAATAACAGTCATAGCCTGCATTGTAATTTCATTCATCCGAACGAAATTCCATATGAACAGAATGGGCAAATTTAGTCCGAAAACAAACGGGCAAAATCTAGTTAAAATTAAACAGCAAAAAAAATTCTAATTGAAATGAAATTCAAATTTCAAAATGAAAATTTCGTCAACATTCTACGCTGACCTATCTCGGGACACTATGAGTTGGAGGAAGTCTCTGCAACCCCTCTGCTCCGCACCCACAATATTCCATACCGTTGGCGATCACCGCAACTACTCCACATACTGCAGGGGGATTCCACCAGGATCTGAAGGAAGCTACTGTCATTTTGGAAAGCCTAGGCCTCCCACAATATTCGCTATCCCGACAGAGAACAAAAGAGGTCAGCAGCACACACCTGGGATCCCACAAGAATTATCCCATTAACAACTCAGAGGGTTTTCTCTGACGTTTTTTTACAAATCTTTTTGTTACAAGTTCAGTTGATTTATTTGCCGATTTGATTTAATTTTCACGAGTTTGTATTGTTCATTAATTGCTACTGCTGTGCATAACAGTCATGCTAGCACACCCTAATATGTGCCATTTATGTGGGAAAATAGCGGTAAGGGAAAAGCACAACAGAGATAGACTGCATCCTACCCTTAGTTGGGTTCAAAATCCAAGTGACCACCAAGTTTGCAAACAGGCTACTAAACATATAAAATACCCTCAAAGTTTGTGTGACAGAGCCGCTGTAAACATATTTTGTATGTTTTAAATTGCAACTATTGCGTAAAAAACAGTCACATATATTATACAAAAAAAAAAAATTCATGAATGGAGAGTTCCATCAGATTTGCTAGGGCACACACTTCTCATTCTTTTTCAATGTTTACGGCAGAAAAAGACAGCGCTTATTATAAAGGCTGAGAGAGAGCCAAGGTGTTCCAGGACAGAAGCAAATATAGCACTGTAGATATCTAAACGTAATCTCACAAACATGTATTAAATATGATTGATCAATAATTACATTATAAAAACCCTGGGAAGCGACAGGTCCTCTTTACTATTTAAAGGACCACTAGTCACCCTGGCCACTTCAACTCAATGAAGTCGTCTGGGTGCCAGGTCCCCCAAGTTTTAACCCTTCAGATGTAAACATATATTTACATTGCAGGGTTAATCCAGCCTCTTGTTGCTGTCTTCCTGACAGCCGCTAGAGGTGCTACTGCAACGCTGAATGCGAAAATCGCATTCAGCATGCAGAACGTCCATAGGAAAGCATTGAGAAATGATTTCCTATGGGTGTTTTTAATGCGCGTGAGCGCCTCTGGCCGCGCATGCGCATTCCGCTCCACTTGGGAGCTGACGTCTGAGTAGGAGGAGAGGTCACCAGCGTCGAGGGAGCCCAGCGCTGGATAAAGGTAAGTGGCTGAAGGGGTTTTAACCCTTTCAGTCCAGCGGGAGGGGGCCCCTGAGGGTGGGGGGGAATATGGGTTATATAGTGTCAGGAAAGGTTCTAGCTTACATGTGTATGTCTTTTGCATTGACTTCATCTTCTGGACTGCACAAACAGCATTGTGAGATGTACACAGTTGTCTGCTTTTTGATTTGTTCATTGAGTCAAATGTACATTAGCCAATTATACAATTTAAATCTATCCATTTGAGTTTTGCTCATGCAATGCATAGAATAAATTATAATGCTTATCCAAAGGGGATTTCTGTTTTCAAACATCTGGGTATGATGACCTACTCAAAACGATAGAGTTGAATAAATAATACATAAAACAGATTTTCTCTAATTTGTGTTATATTTACAACCTAGAGTGTTCAGTTTAAGTTTTTGTTTATATAAAACCGAAAAGGTTTCTGCAAAAATATTCTTACGGGAATTATCAGAGCTCATGTACAGCATAAATTAATGTTACATGCAATCCTTGCAATCAATGTAATGGTCCCATGTGAAAGATGTTTTTAGCGCTACCATCATTTTAGATTTGCAATCCATTTCTGTCTGTAAATGACCTTGACCGTGAAGAATCTTATGGGAAAGAGAATTAATAGCATCTTTGGTAATGACTGTCTGGGTTGTACAATCCAGACCTAATAACATTACTTGTAAAAATCAACCAAAATATTCCACTGAGCATTCAATAAACACCACACCCCTTGTAGATCATTAGATTATCCTGAAAAGAACCCGAATTCCCCAAATAATAGATAAAAGCTGCAGTGCCACTAAATTTATCAGATGGCTTCAAATATCCTGATATTTGACAGAATGAATCACAGACATGCTTGAAATATAGGATACGTATCAGGAAATCTGGAACGGAATGATCAGGTTACTGCATTCTGATATAGCTCAAGTCTAGACAGAGTAGTTGCAAAGACTGACCATCTGAATTACAATGATCTGATCACTAAAGTGAGAATTACAGACGCACAGGATGGTAGCTTACGTCTCTTACATTATGGTAATCCTCTGAAATAAACAACTGAAAACGGCTAAGATCTATATCTGTGGATATTAAACGATCAATGTAGTGACAGTAATACACAGCACTTAAAAGTAAAAAAAAACAGGCATACATGGCACAGCAGACCCCTCCTTGACTAGGAAGAAACTCCATCAATCAGGAGGCTGTTCCTATGAATCCCTGTCTAGAAGCATTTTAGAGGGTAAGAAGTTATATGAACCCCCTCCCCTGTTGACTGGGTTAGTTCTCTTGCTTAATAAATTAATGATGATAATAATTATTATAATACCAGATCTTATCTGCTTTCGATAATTCTCTATGATGACGCTCTCTCCGCATATTAAAAGTGACCTGCTCTTCAAAGATAATGTAATAAGAATTCAGCCAGACACTACTATAATCCAATATTACCCACATCTTTCTATTAACCCTAGTTATGAAGCCTAATCATCCACCATAGTTAGAGTTTAATCCAAGGTTCTGCTGGTAATAGCCATAGAATCCTGCTATTATTTATCCATTCACCACATCACATCATGTGAAGGTCTAGGGAGCAACAGAGCAGGTTCATCTTGTTGGTAGAGGGTTCAATGGGCACCCAGCTACACAACCCTTACTGCTCAGGTGTGGAAGGTAAGATGAGATCTATTGGGCAGATGTCATCTCCGTTATTTTATCCCCAAATGAAAGCATAGGTTGGGATAAAGAGTGAATAGATTAGTTTTCTTTCCTCCTACTCAGTGATCTATTAAACTTTATTCTGCCACCCACAGTGTGAGGGATAGGGGGAACAATACTGCAGCCTCTTGGTTACTTGTCAAACATAATTTTGTTTAATTTTATTTTAAACCTTGGCTGGCTGGACACGGTTTCTTGTACTTAATTCCAGGCTTGCTTGGAAGTTCACTCCCAGGCTAGTCACTCCCCTGTCTCTCAATACACAAGTGCCGTTTGTAGTGCCAGTTGCAGGACAACTTGGATGATTTCAAAATAACCCAAACAGTATTTTTTGTTGTTGCATGTATATCTATCTATTAGGTAAAACTGTTGCCTTAAGGATTCATGGTTTGATGCACCATGAGTAAACAGTATATTGTAACTTTGTTTCTGTAGAAAGCAAAAATGAACATATTTAGCCAGTGGTGGCTCTAGATTTTGTAAGGACTTTGGCAGAACTCAAACATGAGTTCACCCAATAACACCCATAGGGAAAAAATAAATAGGGGTTACTTTGTGTGTTTAAGGAGCTCTAGTTATATTAAAGGCTTGCAGAGCTGGATACATGCATTCACCATGCATTCGTTGTTTAGAGGCTTGCAATGTCACAGCTCCTTGTGCTGCTGCATGGTAAGCTCTTCAGCTGTAGTCATGGTATACGTTCCAAACTAAATTAATTGGCAATAAATACTTTTTAATTAGCAATTAAACTAAATCATTCATACACGATGGCAGAGTAGGTTTTCATAGCCTAGTAGTCGTATATACATAAGTGCTGGTTTGAAGGTGTGTTAAGGTACTGAAAACAAAAATGAAAATTCTAATTGGGCAAAAAAAGCTTTTAAATCGAATTTATCAAATAATAAAATGACAGATAAGAAAATAGTGTGCGTTCCCCTCCGGTCTCTGAAGTTCCCTGGCCTGGGCCACAGTAGGGGTGCGCTAGGTTGGGAAGCACAGTCAGGAAGGAATATGTACGTAATCATAGTTCTTTCGGGAGAAGGTGGTGGCTGTGAGCCATGTACAAGCAGTGGTGTATTTTGGCTTGTGCTGCCCTAGGCAGGGCAAAACTCTGGCACACTTTCCTGTCAGGGCCGCACACACTTTGATTGACAGACACTTTCTCACTGACATATACTTACTGAAAGATACAGTTATTGGAACACACACTGTTTAACCAACACACACTTTCACTGCCACACACACTCACTGACAGGCATACACTCTTAGCTACACTGACATACACACATGGATTTAAAAACTGACAGACACACTATTACTCAGACACACGCTGACAGGCGCACACACCCATTAACAGACACATACACTCAATGTCATACACACACACACACACTCACTAATAGACATACACTGACAGGGCCGGACTGGGAATTAAAAGCAGCCCTGGAAAAAAAATATTTACCAGCCCCA